TAGATACTAGAACTAGCTGAGAGACAGGAAAAACGAAGGATCCGCATGGTGTAGTGTAGAATGCGTTACTCCCCGGAAAGGACAATAGCGCGACCGTTCCCAACGCAGAATTCTGCGGTCCGCAGTTCTGCAAATATCTCAGTATCATTAAAGCTATATCTCGCAAATATATACCCTGCCGTTAAAAAGAGTAGGAAGTAAATAATAAGTTAAAATTGCTCTACATTATATTTATTTATATGATCTTATAAATTGATCCTCTTTAGCTAATGCCAAGCTGCATTTCGTTTATTTTCGGACGAAATTCTCCGCATACTTAATTACTACCAAAAAAAAGCTCCAACATTAGACAGCAACAAAAATGTGGCATGCGCCAGGTTAGAGAGCTGTTGAATTCAAAATCTGTTAGATTTTCTACTAGTGATAATTTGAAGTTCTTCCTAGTTAGTTGGATATTAGGATAACAGAGGAGCACCTCAGTGATGCTTCTCTCTATCGAACATCCTCTGAAAAGGAATACAGAAATCAATACCGAAAATTAAATCAAGAATGGGTCAGCACGGCAAAGGACGCGAGTTTAGATCCTTCAGTTATTTCTCGACTTAAGAACGAACACCCGATTTGCCCTGTCCTTTACTTGCTTATTAAAACACATAAGCTTACTTCAACTGATGATATTACGTCAACGAACCCATCATCATATAAAGTTAGACCTATCATCAGTTGTATAGGCGGGCCAACGGACAGAATAACGTGGTTCCTAAACTTTATCCTAACCCAGCTGCTAAAATTCATCCCAACCCATCTACCCAACACCAAAATATTTCTAGATCACCTAAGGCGCGCGCAACCAAACAGCACGCATATAGTGGGGTCATTCGATGTTAGTTCACTTTATACCAACGTGTCCAATGACTCCGCAATGCAAGCCATTCTCGAGTTGTTCGTAGAGCATGAAAAGAAAATAAAAATGCACGGCTTGTCGATTGCGCAACTAATGACCCTCTTAAAACAGTGTCTTAGTTGTTCAATCTTTAGGTGGTCTGGAAAATATTTTGCACAAATTAGAGGGTTGGCGAAGTGGCAGCGCTTNATGTTAGTTCACTTTATACCAACGTGTCCAATGACTCCGCAATGCAAGCCATTCTCGAGTTGTTCGTAGAGCATGAAAAGAAAATAAAAATGCATGGCTTGTCGATTGCGCAACTAATGACCCTCTTAAAACAGTGTCTTAGTTGTTCAATCTTTAGGTGGTCTGGAAAATATTTTGCACAAATTAGAGGGTTGGCGAAGTGGCAGCGCTTAGCACCAAGCCTTGCCATCGCTTTCATGTCTAAGGTGGAAGCTCCAGTTCTCAATCACCGACCCTTACTCTACTGTCGATACATAGACGACTGCTTCATCGTCTGTTCCACACAAGAACAGATGGATGAGTGCTTTGAATTATGAAACCGACAGTCAGAGTATATAAAATTTACACGAGAAAAACCAGCCGAGAACTGGCTTCCATTCCTAAACATCCAAATAAAGCTCTCAGCAAGTGGCTATGTAACAAAATGGTATCGCAAGCCAAGTAGTAAAAACATTCTAGTTCACTGCCTCTCCTCTCATCCTTCACACATGAAAAAAGCACTTATCAAAAAGATGAACTGTACGGCTAAAAGTGTGTACACAGGAGAAGAGGAAAGGAATGAATCGCGAAGCCTGGCACGAAAAATTGCCATTTCCAATGGCTACGAAGTAGAAGCCACTCGGGTTAGAGGAAAACGTAGGGTTGTTCNCCAACATAATGTTCCGGACGTAAGTAATATTCCCTTTAAGCTACCCCTCATATCAAATGAAGCAAGTTACTCCATTAAGAGATGCTTAAGAAAAAGTGGTCTTGAAATTATGTAACCATTACTGACATCCCACCCAATGCCCTACGCCTTCAGCTAGATCGCAGCCGTCTTTATGATCGTTTGTACAGCTCAGAAAACTGTGTGATCTGTCCTAACGGGAGAGACGGGGATTGCATGAGTTTAGGTATAATGTACTTGTTCTCATGTAACGCATACGGTGAGGAATACATTAGGGAAACGGGTAGACCAGACCACTTCGTGACCGCATAAAAGAACATCTAGATGGGAAAGTTAAAATTCGTCAAAACACTCCTCTAGGGAAGCACACGGTAAAAAAGCACAATGGCGAAGATTTTGAACTGACTGTGCGGATCCTAGCGCAGGAATCGAAAACACCAACGCGCAAAACTCTTGAGGCATTTTGGATAAATTTCAAAAATCCAAAGATGAACCGGAAAGACGAATGCCTCACTGTTACAAGTGACCTGGTGCCCTATTTCAAAATGATATTTTGACCCCGAGGTGCGTCTTGCGCGCGACCCCACGTGAGCAACGCGTGGGCCAGTGTTCCACTCGTAAAATCAGCGTGAGTAGCCTTTCTGATCAATATAGCGTCTATTTAAAAGCTTGATCTTCATTAATACTTTAGCCTTGATCTTCATTAATACTTTAACCTTTAATAATAAAAAGTATTCGAACATGAAGTACGTCCGGGCTCTGAGGAAGGCGAAGTCGCCGAAACGTCAGCCATCGATCAATAACATGAAAAACAACGACAGCGACAACGAAGATCTGTACCAACCTCGCGTCAGCTTAAGAAGATCAGTTTATAAGATCACATAAATAAATATATCAGAGTCTTCAATATTCCTTCATTGTGGTAGCTTAATATTTTTCTCCAAACTTGCGTAAAGCAGTGAGTTTTTTCGCCTCTTTACAAGCTTTAGTTCCACATGAATCACCCTTCTCTTATCCATCCACTCTTGCGCACTCTCTCAAAAGGAGCTACAAATATTAACTAAATGCAATACGAAGGAACGTATTAGGTCTCCGCACCGAATCAGCAACAGCTAGTCACTCCAAAGCGGTGTATACAGTATATTTAGAACTGCACGCCACTATGGCACTGTAGAAAGAATAAACCGTGGTCTGAATACCGTGTGCCACTCAGAACAAGTGTAAGCTTGTTTTTGGCTTGCGCTAATCACCTTGAAGAAGGTTCGAAGATTGAAGAAGGTTGAAGCTCTGGGAGCGTCATGCATTCTTGGAGTAACCCACAATCTGTTGACGAGAGAGATCCACTTGTTGTTTATTAAAAAAAAGTCGGTAAAAGATTCGTAAACAGTTATCGCCTAACCCTAGTTAAAGAAATATACAATTCAGACAAATTTGTAATTTATAACAAACATCACTGTTGCATCAAATCCCAGGACCAACTTTCTCTTAACGTCGACATTGATCAATAAATTACTGTTTCGCTTGATAAGCAAACACGGTGTTGTATCACAGTATTTATTAATAAAAGTAGCCGACAGTTCAGCGGCTTCGCCTTTTCAGAGCCGTTTCGCCGTTCTTAGGTCCTCTGGGTGTTACTGGAAACGAGCCGCACAGAGTCTTACATGGGCGAGGAGTGTCAACAAAACGGGTCTAGGGAAAGCGAAATCATCGAAACGTCAGCTATTGTGTATGAATAATACCGCGATGACAGCTTTGGGTTTGCTCAACAAGGGAAACAAAGACATTGTTACTATTAATGAGTATCCGTTCTACTAGATCATGATCCGAGTGGGCTGACTCTGAGTGGGGAGACAAAAAATCGAGTGATTTTTTGAGAGAAGAATCATACGAAAAATCACTTGATTGGTGGTCTATAAAGTATCTCTACCCTCTTTCCTATGTAATGTGTTGAACGAAATATTTAATACCACCACAACAATGCTGAGATATTTGCAAAACTCCGGATCGCAGGTGTCTGCGGTGGGGAACGAACGCGCTATTACTTCTCCGAAGGCTAACGCGTTCAACACCACACCATGCAGGTCCTCCGTTTCGCCTGTCTTTCATCTAGATTTCTATCGATCAGTGCCATCAGCAATCAAGAGTTAATGTTTATCATTAATCACTTCTTGGTCAGTAACATCGATCTATGGATGAAAATTTAACAGCTGCTTAGCAGACACCAGTTTCTTTCTTTATACAAATAATAAGTTTATTTTCTTATGTCGGAAATTACTACGTAATTACTGTAAAATTCTGTACATTACGAATCATTCCACTAAAAAAAAAGAGAAAATGAGGTGTCGATGCACAAAAAGGTCCCGTAACGATATATAACACAAAAATCACAAGAACATTCTTGAATAAAGAGCCCGTATAGGAGTTAGCTACATTAACTGAGATTCAGTTGATGAATTCAGTCGAGCGGAATCTTCACTCAGCTGCGATCGTAAACCGTTGTGACGGACGCGTGGTGTTTTCGCCGATTTTTATCCGTCGACGATGCCGGAGTAACTGTAAAGTGGAAGATTTTAAATACGAGACTTCGTGTATTTGATCCAAAAAAGAACGATTCCTTACTTTAGCATAGTTTCCATTCCTCAAAGGGGCATAGAAAATCTTTAGTAGTGATGCGACCGCGCAGGTGATTGCAGGAATAAAACTTATTTGGATACTCGGATAGCATGTCCTCATTGGTTGTGTGGGCCCCAGCATAATCTCCATTTTTCGGAGTTTTGCTCGTTTAGCCAATGTGGCTTCCTGGAATCCAGAGGTCAGCCAGACCAAAGTTTGTCCCAAATCGTCACCAACATAGGCAGTCGCAGTCTTTGTGGATCAGAGAGAGGTTTGCCACCATGCGACCAATTTGATACCAAGACTGTGGTGGATTCTGGTATTGGCTTACCCTTAGCTGGGCTTCCTAATGGAAACGCTAGACTCCTTCTCAGCTTGGGAGACCCTGCCAGGGGATGAATCCCCGCCGTACATCGCAGCCCGACACCCAGGAACACATCCCATCCATGATGAGTCAGTAAACCATTGGGAGGGCAGGAATCAAAAATTGCATCAATAAAGAATTCAAAAATCGGTAAAGTGCACGTCACTAAAATGAGAAATCTTTCCAAAATGCAAATAATTCGGGATTTAAGAATTGCATCTGTTTTACTTACTTGACGGCATGGATGGTGGATGTTCCCCGACACGACTACTGACCCTTTGGCTTGTCGTTGATGTCTGACGAATACCCGACTGTATAGCCGCAGACCGTGCGCCACCCACTCGTCGGTTTTGAGGACCCGAATTGGGCTGGAATCGTAAAAAATCGAAATAACACCATTAAAAGACGGGATATGTAAAAAATAAGGATGCACCCACCGCAGCGGACAAGCTAGGCGTTCGATTCAGTTCACCCTCGATAAACCGCACAACTTTGCCCATGCAAGCGTCCTGGTAGTCATGAACCCATCTGAAAGACTTTTCATGACCGTCGTAGAAAAAAATTTCTTCGACCTATGAGTTAATCTTCACGTTATAATGGCTCACAAAAGCTTGACTTGATCAGAGAAGTATGGTGTTGATAATAAACTGAAACGAGAAAAAAAAAGCACGAAAAGCACGTATAGGCCTGCTTTTCCTTTTCATTTGCTTCTAGCTTTCCCTGGCACTTACGGAATGACACTAGTATGAGATAACAAGTTAAATGCATTGTGAAAAGAATAGCTCACTTCACTCCATTGTACTTAGTGATCATTCGAATATCTTGAGGGATTTGTTCCTCATTCTGCGGGAATTCAAATGCTTGGTCGAAGATCGGAATGATGTTCTTTTGATATTCGAAAGCACATTTCAACTGCAATATTGCGAGTATATGATCTTTAACTCATAATACTAACGAACAGCACTGAACAAACCTCCTTGTGAATCCAGTCGTCACCATTATGATCGTTCAAAAGCCGATCAAGGGAGTTTGGTGTAAGGACAAGAATGAAGTGCTTAGCTGCTTGAATGTTCTTTAGTAGCGATGAGTCAAATTTTCCTGCATACAACTTATCCACGTCAATAAACACCTAAAGAAAAGCATTTTGAGTAAGAGATAACTTTTAGAGCGGTTAACGATGGACGAACTTTGTAGCCTTTCAGCTGCAGTAACACCTTGATAAGGCTGGCAAGTTGATTTCCAGTGCTTCTTCGGTAGCTGATAAAAACGTCGATCTGTTTACTGAGCACGGCTAATTCGACCTCATCAGGATGCTTGGCGTCTAGAAATGAACATACCTGCTTCTGTGCCCATAAGCACCCCTCTTAGCCAGTGGCTTACAACAGAGCTTATCATAGTATCGAAAATAATTTCAATGCGTACATTGGACATCTATTAGTAATTCTCGTTAAAAAAGAATGCTATCAATGCAGTTGATCGTTTAATCGACAAAATATTCCTGCACAATGGCTCAACAAGCAAAGACGGGTGGAAAGAAATGTACTGTCGATCTATTACAAAGTAGACTCATACACTTTCTTTCAGCTGTGAAAGCACCTTTTGGCTCCAATACAGGTAGTAGGTATGCTTAACACTTCAGGCTATAGCACTGTCTTACTTTGGAAAGCTTGGGTCATCTTGAGTCGATGAATCGGGTTTGTGATTCCACAAGCCGTCTGCATGAGCTCATCCGTCAGTGATCCAAGCAAGGATCGGTTGATTCCACAAGACAGCATCTTAAACGTGCTGTGTTGAGCAATATTATCTAGTAAATTGCGAGTTAATCGTAGATAAGATATACCTTATAAGTGTACACAGATAATTCTGGACTTAGGGACATGAGTAGCTGATCAAGGTTACTCTCGTCTACCGCGGAGTAGTCTGCAGCAATCTGAACGAATCATGCTGAGCGTACTAGACATTTCAGCTAGAGAGATAGTTTAACGCACCTTGAGGCTCTCTAGTTCACGAATAAAGCGTTTTCGATGAAGACCAGAAGACATGCCGATGTCGCGCTCAAGTTCCCTCTCATTCAGGTGTAAAAGAATATCGCCGTCGACCATCTGCTTAGCGAAATGGTCCACATAATCTTCAAAGCCTATCTAAAATGAACACTTCGATGTTTTTCATTCAGACTCTCATCGTAGTAGATCGCCGCTCGCTTGCGACTCAGTTCATTACGCGCTTACTGATCTGATGGCGGCGCTGATAAACATTATAACGGATGGGGCGCAAACTTCTAAGCCGCTTGAGTAGACTAGATCAAACTAAATTCGACCAATGATTTTCTACTGGTTATTATGCAATAATTAGGAAATAAGAGATCCAGGTTACACCGGCTTCGATTTGGATCCATTACAAGAAATATTCAAATAACCATTGTTTATTAGAATAGTTCTCCAGCCGTAGGCCATCGTCCAAGCCAATGTTTCTTGGAGAACGAATAGCTTTGTACTTCTTCTGATTGCTTAGAAATGAATTTCGCTCATTTCTCAAGGAAAAATTTCTAGCTCATTGATTAATTTATTGGTCGATTTTCGATCTCTTCCTCCGTTTTAATGCTGTCGATAAATCTGATAGCGCTACGTTGATTACTTTTAGTCCTACGAACTCTCAAGGAACATCAAACATTTGAACGAAATGGCAATGATAGAATGAAGCATTAAACACCAGTAGAACGTTGGCTAGTATTTCTTTATATTACTTATACTGTAATAGAAAATTACAAATGTAGAAAAAGGCACTCTGGATATTTTATTGTTGCTGTCATCAAAAGCAGTGATCCCAGTGGAGGTACTCTGTTTTTTTTTCACCAAACCTTCCATATTTTCGTCACGTATGGGAAAGCTATGGATAATGCTTGTCATGCCAATATTGGCTCAAGTTGAGGTCCGAGGAACAAACTGTTTAATTAACGCATCCTTTTAATAGCAATGCGTGTTACTTTGCACACCACCGTATTCCGGACCACCTAAAACTATCCTCCCGACGGTTTTATGCCTTATCGTGGTTGGGAAATGTTCCGGGTGTCGGACTGCGATGTACAGCGGGGGATTCGTCCCCCTGGCAGGGTCTCCCAAGCTGACCAGGCATTTCCATCAAGAAGCCTAGCTAAGAGTAAACCAATACCAGGGTCCACTACCGTCCAGGTATCAAAGTCGCATGGTGGTAAATCTTCCTCTGATCCACAAAGGCCGCGACTGCTTGTGGTGGTGAAGACCCAAAGCAGACTTTGGCCAGACTGACCTCGAAATTCCAGGGAACCACAGTGGCTTAACCAGCAAATCTCCCAAAAATGGTGATTATGCTGGGGTCCGCACAACCAGTGAAGACGGGCTGTTCAAGTATCAAGTAAGTATAGGAAAGCTATATAGTGTGGCCGAAGATGAGCTCTTCCAAGAAAGAAATACACCTTAGGAAAACACGATTTCCATTAGACTACAAAAATCATCGGGAGTCTTAAAATTATTCGACCTTCCTATTTTATGCGTGTAGCGCAGTGCTTAGATGTGCCCTGCCAAACTTGCACGATCGTTCATTGGTTCGATTCCGCTCATTAGGCCAACCAAGCCCCTTCACCAGTGGCAAGTTCCTACTGCACCTATCTAAGAGAACAGCAACACTGACTTCATACATTTGCAGACCACCACTTGTCATTGGATAGGTCAGATATACATTCAATCACATCTCCTAACCTTGATTAAGTTGAATTAGTGTGCACCTTTCAAGGGTTCATCAACGCCGAATCTTTGTTCCTTTTATTTATTTCCTATTTTTCATTTTAAAGGTGTGCCTATACGCCTTTGAACTTTGCGTTACCTTAGTTGTGGTTGGAGCAAGGTGGAAAACGGCCAAATCGCGACCGGAGCACTACGATGAGATAACAATGCGGAAGTGCAACTCGCACAAAGAGTTTCTATTTTGAGAGAACAACGCTAAGAGTGATGGGTGTGATCGTCATAGGTTAGAATGTCTGTCACCAACGACTACTCGTTTCCGAAATTTAAGGAAATTCACAACCGTTAGACTTATAAACAATTGAAAATAGCCATGTCGTAGCAACAACTGACGTACTAGTCTTAAGTTCAACTATGACCAATTTCCGGCACTTAGTAAACAAAAACCGATTTAACTGGTGTATGATAGAGCTTCAGCGGATTGCTCACAAGACGAGCACTGTCATGGGTCAAAAAATTCAAGAAGTTTGATTTCATACAAATCACTCTAAATGATCCAAAAATGGCTAACAGAGAGGCAGAAATCATATTAGAAAAAGAAACAAAAGTGAATAAGATGGATTAATCCGGGAAAGGGACGAGGAGATAGTAATGGTTAGAGATGCTGTGTATTGCAGTATACTACCCACTGGTTCGACATGCCCAGGACCGATGAAGCCCACAATTGCTAGGAGGTCGGTGTATTCGCGGCAGACTTGTATGCATGAGCAGCTGCCTTGGATCTGATTGGCCACGGACTGCTTGTGAGGAAAACCTGAGAACGTACTAGAGTTATACCAGGATTCTAGGCAGAGTTAGCTCCATCAGGTTTAAACGACATTCGTGAAGAATACGAAGTCCTCAAGTGGAATTTGAATAAACATTTAATCAATAGCGATGAAGGGAGTGTAGCGAACCAAATGAAAAGAGTGTTACAGTTTTTACAATGTATTATAATGATGAATCATATGAATAAAAAAGATTTCGAAAAAGAAGCTCACCTTTTTGACCCAGTACTGAACATCGTTCACAGTCCAGTTTGGCACTTGTTGGGCGAGTTTGTAAGGCACCTGAAAAATGTCGAAGACAGTCGACGACGCTTGTTTCTTTATTATGAAGCTTAAGAAACAGAGATAATCGAGCCGCACTAGGAAAAAACAAGTGTCGCGCGAGAGAAGCTCACTGTGACTTTTTGCTTAATTTTTGAAGTTTGTTTGAAAATGAAACTTTTTGATATGACTACTGCACAGAATTACCTCCTAACGGTTTACCGCCTCGTCGTGGTTGGGAGGTATTCCTAGGGTGTCGGGCAGCGATGTACAACGAGGGAATTCATCCTCTCAGCACGGTTTCCCAAGCTGAGAAGGAGTTCGGCGTTCCCGTCAGGAAGCCCAGCTAAGAGTAAACCAATGCCAGGATTTACCACTGCTCTGGTATCAAACTAGTCACTTGGTGGCAAATCTCCCTCCGATTCACAAGGGCGGCGACTGCCTGTGGTTGTGACAACCTGAGACAGATTTTGGTCAAGGTGTCCTCGGGACTACAGGAACTACAATGGCTAAACCAGCAAATCTTCGAAAAACGAAAATTATGCTGGGCCGCTCCAAATAATGGAAACTGGCCATCCAAGTTTCCAAGTAAGTAGTCATAGAAATCACCACTGTGGCATAGAGAAAAGATAATAAAATCGCTACATTGTCCCACAACACATAATAAAATTCCTTCGAAGTTCGACTCTAGTACCAGTCGCTATGATTAAGATGCATAAGAGCAATCTCCCTTCTTAGGTTTCTATAGAGTTGCACCACAGAGAGAAATTAGACTACCAGGCTTATTTCTTATTTCATGAACTCGCACAACGAATTCACAGCAGCTTCTAAAAAACTTGGATTTTATGCTTAATAGCTCAAAGATAAAAATGCGCTTATTCCATACGAAAATCACCGTGTATATAGTTTTGTAAATATCTCAGCAATATTGTGACTGTGTATATATTTTAACTGTTATCAATTCGAAAACAAAATTCACTTCTTCTCCAATAACTGTTAGTGCTTCGGAGGCGAACTTGGCTGCGACCTCATCAGGTGACGATGCCACCTCCTTCAGAGCATCAATTGCACCGATCTCCTAAATTAAAAATCATTCGAAGGGTTATCGATCGATGACTTCTCATAGAAAACCGCGATGATCACCTGATTTACCGGTGTGGTAACCTAAGGAAATTCTTGCCGTTTCAAGGAATAGGAACAAGAATATAGTGCAGAATGGGATCTTTTATCATCAAGTTTCCTTATTTGATTAAATAGACAGTCCTCTTCATTAGGAACTTTCGCTAAAATCGAATTTAATTGGAACGAGGAAAAGAACTTAAGAGTAAGCAGATAAATCTCAAACACAACTAGCGTTTAGAATGTGAAATTCCGAACCAGAAACTTCAGCGGAACTACAAGCAACCATTTCGATCATAGCACTCGTATGTGACAGTAGATGCGGATTCCCGAAAAAGTAAAATAAAAAAAAATACAGGGACTAGTAAAGTGGCAAACAGTGGCAAAACCCCCAAGACCGACTTTCTGTTAACCTCAGCATTGATTAATAATTCGATGTTTTCCTTCAATAAGCTTATTGAAGTGGCAAAACCCATTGCCTTCTTCCATTTAGATTCTAGGCTAAGGCAACGCACGCTAGGTGGTCTTCATGTAGAGTCGGTGGATAACATAATGCTATTCCTAGATAAGAACCAGCACTCGAGGGACCGAAACCGTTGCTCATCTTTGGCACCAATACGAAGCCAATCGATGAGGGCATAAAATCAGAATGACAGTACGTTTTCGTAGATTTTTCTTTTCCTTTGTGGAATAAATACGTAACCGCAGAATTTGGTGCAGATGACAAATAGCAGCTCATTTGGAGCTTTTTTGAATGTTTTTTCATGATCAGAAACGTTAAAGTGAATAACTCGTGAATAACTCAACTTAATTAACAATAGATGATGACTCCCTACTGCCTATGATGCCGCCTACATGGACTTCTACATAAAAACCACTTTCGCGTGCGGGAACTGTCGCGCTCCTTTCATTGGTCAGCTTGACAGCTGTGCAAACCATCGATGGCAGTTCAGCCGCATCAGTTGCTGGAACCTGTTACAGGTGTCGACGACCTTACGCTGAAAGGACATGGGAGGGGTAGCCAGAGTTCTTATGACGACAGCAAGTGAGTGCGGACACCCTGAAGCAAGTATGTTGCTGGAAAACTGCTTCACGTACCAGGTCATCCCATAATCCACGGAGTCGCATCGAACAGAACAAATCATTTAAGTTAAAAAATCTCAGCAGAACAACCATAGTGGAAAGTTCTAAGAAAACGTCAAAATGTTGAAAAAAACAGGAATGTTAACAGATGCAAACTTTAGACTTGTAGCAAACTTATGTAGTTTAAAAAACCTGTACTTAATTAATTCAAAAGCCTTAATTTAATAAAAAATAAAAATACCTTATAAAAATATCGATTATTCCATGTAAGTGATAAGAATGGTTCATACCGTAAAACTCAATGAAGACGTTAAGAACAATAACTATTGTGATCTCGAAGGTATGGGCTTCATTTGAGCACTAGTGAAAAAGTGGAGAGATGATCAAATTCACGATAAAAAGCTGGCTGACTTTAATTTACGAAAGAAAGAAGAAGATTTTCTTCTCACTCTACGGAAGCAGTAAGCATCCCGGCTTGTAGAAATGGCACCAAAAGCAGGACTCGAGGTAGTAATGAACTTGACTATTTAACAATGAATATTTTCCATGAGAGGTAGTGAATGGTAAGTAATGGTTCAATATGATCTAGTTAATAATCACAGCGTTTATAGTTGTCTAAACAACACTTGAAAGATAAGCACAGGCATGTGGACGACGACTATTAGTGTTTAGCATGAAGAGATAACAAAAGCTGACCGACTAGTTAGTGATTGACTGAAATGGCTGCGAAAGATAGACGCAAACACCTTATCTAACTGATTGATGTGACTAATGAGACGATAAAAAAGAGCGAAACCGGTGGGAAATTAAGTGAAAAAGAGAGAAAAAACAGCGGCATTGATACATAGCGCAATGAGATCAGAGACCGTTACATGAGACCATGCTTTAACATCTATTCGGTAGAGGTTTCAGACGAATATTAAGTCACCAAATCAGTAACCACTAGGCAATTTCACCAATGTCTATATCTCCTATAACAGGATTCCATTTTGGCAAACCAAAAAAGAGTATAGAATTTGGCCAGCGAGTCTTAAAAAACCCACCTTAGAATAAGGATGGAAACCCCGTACAGTTTTGGACCTCGAGAAAAGGTTCGTAGCATGCGATTTCTCTCTGGTGACAATTGAGGTGCGAGCTATAATTGATATCTTCGGCTCTACAGCGTTCTGGAGCTCTTGATGGAATGTGGACCAAAGTGGTGGCAGTGGAGAACATCCAAGCGGCACTGTAGAAGTCGTCACTCCTTTGGAAAGCCATGGTACGTGGCTCGGATCTGGAGGTGGACTCCAACTTCCGCCAGGATTCATTTCGAAATGCTCGCAAAGAAGTTCGTCAAAGTGCCACGCCCAGTGCCAATTACGATATTGAAATACGTAGAGAGAGTCTATTTCTGATCACTGCGACAAAAATAGTGGCCTAATATAGGTTGCGTAAAAATTTAATATTTTCGTTCTTTTTCTTGAGCGTCTGCTACGTATAACCAAAAACGATTCGGTGGCAAGTTAGTATTCCCATGCCACAGGGTACCGGAGAAACTACGAAAAGTTTTTGATCGCCGAATGAATACGACAAACAGAAAGCTGTAAAATCGAAGCACACATTATGATAAACGGAGAGCTCTAATAGTTGGAACGCCGTCACCAACATCACGTAACAGATTCGATCTTTTATATGGGGATCCTGGTAAGAAGAACTGTGTAGAACAGTCAGAGAACTGGAATTCGAACTGTTCGTTACGTGTGCTCTGCCATGAAGTGAAAAATCTACCTAGAGCAGTAGAGCATTTCGTGCACTGCCTACTGTTCAAATTCGAATGAAGAAACTTCTCTAAAGGTTTGATGCAGTTCGAAAAAGTGATGAAACCAAACGAGTCTTGTTATGTGGTTTCTAACCGGATGACGTCACAGCTCTCAGTATGCGAAGGACATTCTTGATGAAACGTTCTTTAAAGAATCACCCGTCCACAAATACAAAGCCAGTTGAACATGTGACGGCGTTCGCTAGTTGTTAGTACGTCGATGAGTGCAAGTTATCTATAAACGAGTTCCTCAATCAAAACATTATCAGCATCGTTGTAATAATAGGTAATCACATGAATAATCACTGTTAATCTCAACGTTGGAACCACATCCCTTCTTTCATCTTCTGACAACGTAGTGCTTAATATCCGTGGGCTTAAACCATTTCCGACGTGCTGTTTTGGAAGCGGATAAGACTATTCTGCCTTTATAGAGCTCGATATGGCATAGTGAATGCTCCGCCAATGAAAAATATGCGTATTGATCATATTCTACTGTCATTTTCGAGCATATCGCTAGGTTTAATCACAATAACTTCTGAGTTAAAGTCCTACCTGGAAGACGTCAAGCTTGTTTTGATCTTTTTTGATCGCGGCTTCCATAGCAAAATGAAATGCGGCCATACTCTTCGCCTCTCGTCGCATCGACTTGAGCATTGGAAGAAGTCTGCAGAAGTGTATACTCAGTGCGGCAGGAGAACTTAGAGCTGTTCCAGATTTCGCAAAAAAAATCACCAGTTCTTGAAGACGTCTATACCATGAATTTCTCTTCATTGCTAGATGTTGTGGAAGATTATTTAAATAGATAAATTGTAAGAGCATTCTCGACGCAAGAAACACACGACGAAGCATATCAATCGTATCCTTCAACTTTACGCTGCTCTGGTTATGCTTTCGATAATGCCTTAGCTTTTATTTACAGCCTATTCTTTTCACATGATAGGGTATTCTGTGAAATACAACCACACGAGTGATTAGATTCATGCAAAACTCGGCAGCTCATCTGGGGTTCGACTCCGTGATTACCAACACCGGGGACTCAGGTGCTATCTGTCACACGAGCCGAGGCCGTTGCGTTCCTTTCTCTTAGCCATTCTCTCATTCCCGCCTACGGTGATTGCCGATTGCACCGTTAGGCCAAAAAACTGGCTGAGAGAATGGTATAGCAGGTGAGCTCACGGAAAGGATAATCACGTGTTCCAAGTCTAGCTGAGGTAACGAGTTTTGCACATATCTCAGCATCCTAGTGGTTGTATTCTACGTTCGATAACGTTTCCCTGAATCCATTGACTTAAACTCAAGAAGCTAGTGCTTACTCTGAACTTCAAAGAAAATATGGTGAAATGTCCTAAGCCATATTTTAACAACAAAAAAATACTGTGTTTCGCAGCCTTTCTAGAAATTAAAAAGAAGTAATATCTTTATTCCTTACAATGCGAACTCTCATTACAAAAAACACCCACGCAAACTGTCGTTTATGTGAGAAAATATGGGTTGTGGTCGGAATACCACAAACGTAGAGTTGAACTGGACATTTTCTGTATAAAAGCTTCTCGTATCCATGGAAAATTACATTTAGAAGAAATATGATGCCTTTCAACTCATTTACTTTATTATTTTGCAATTTACAAGACCCAACAACCGATAGTTTTTCATTCGCTGTACTCCTTTCATTCGTTTCGTTTTCTCGCATCATTCACGAAGGTCTTCAGATTTACGTGTGGACTGGGTTGCCACTTGAGGGATTCTTCGTTCTAATGAATTGCCATAAATGATGATCGAGTAGATGCTCCCTGAAATCCTGAGGCACATCTATTGCGGCGTTCCAAAATCTTCCACACCGGTATTTGCTAATCTTTGTAGACTTCAGAGAGCCCTTCCCAAACAAGTGTAGTTCGTCCACCTTAGAGGGATAGGAGGCATAGTTGGCCTCGGGTATGATCGAACTAAAGCCCTGCGCACATTATTCAACGGTATCCGCAAATAAGCACAGGTGCTAGAAGTGTGATGTGAGGTTCTCTTTCATCTTTCAAACAACATAAGGACGCCAAAAAACATGATGGCTGATTTTCATCCTACCAACTAACGCCGAAACTCTCGTCGTTCGACACATCAAAATGAACTCGAGCTCACTGGTTAAATAAATTCCAAATGTCACTGTAGACAGACTTTCATTTGACCTTACTGTGAATGATTAGTGTATCTTACTTCATTAATAAGCTAACACGAGGTTGACAAAGATGTTTATTCGGTTAAAGTTTGAACGTATTGGTCTTCCTCAGAGCCGATTATCCGAGTCGATGATCCACAGTCGTTCGTCTTCTCAATGCAGTGTCTTCGTCGTCGTATAGAGCATAATCTTTTTCAATAGAGCACCGCTCGAACGAAGCAACCTCACTCGATGATGTTCCTTTGTATAGGATGGATGTTGAAGATAATGAATGCCCGCTGATGGTGCTGAGACGAACGACTGTAGTCCATCCACTCGGATTCAGTTCAGAGCAAGACGAAGACGTCGAAATGTTAGCCGTTATCCGAATAAGTTTTTGGCAACCAACTCGTTAGTTTATCAATGAAATAACGTAATTTCAAGCACACCTAATGGTTTACCGCCTCATTGTGGTTGGGGGGTGTCCATGAGTGTCGGTCTGCGATGTACAGTGGAGAGATTCATCTCTCGGCAGGGTTTCCCAAGCTCAGAAGGAGTCTGCCGTTTTAATCAGAAAGCCTAGCTAAGAGCAAACCGATACCAGGATCCACCACCGTCCTGGTATCAAAGTCGCACGATTGCAAATCTCCCTCTGATCCACAAGGGCTGCCGCTGCCTGTGGTGGTGAAGACCCGAGGCAGACTTTGGCCCGGCTGACCACAATTCCAGGAAACCACAATGCAGCCAGCAGGTCTTCGAAAAAATGGATATAATGCTGAGTCCCGCGCAAACATTACGGGCGGGCCATCCAAGTATCCAAGTAAGTAGAATTTCAAGCACAGGTGCGGTCCTTATTAAAAATGACGATACTTCTGCCTCAAGTTCATCAAACATTGACACTGTATTCATTCTGTGCTTAATCAAAATCGTTCTACACAGTGAAATTTTCACTACTAATCACGAAGGAAATTTCATGTAATGTTTGCCATAATGCTTCCCATTACTGGATATCAAATGTTCCCTGTGAAATAATTTCAAACTGCCAATTCTTTTCGGACAAAGAAGAAAACTCTCGTCGATTTCAGCAACCTTAAGGAGTTAGCTAAAGCGCTATTGAGAATACTGACAACTAACCGACTGAGCCACTCTTTTGGACGCCCTTGGGAATGCTTGTAATGGTCACCGGCGAAAGTGGTGGCGTCGTGTGCCAGAAGAAACGGCTCTACCAACTTCAACGTGTCCGATTTCATCACAGCTGATTCAAATTCCTGAATGAAAACATACAAATCCATTATCCAGAAAAAAGTTCAGTAGCTGTTTGGATAACGGTTGGTAGAAACCTTTTTAACGTGATATCAACTGCAGGGACAGCCCCCGCAGCTGCTACTTCAAAAGCTCATCTACCCTAACGTTATTCAAAATTTCACCCTTACCTATGACAACGGCACTTCGTTAACTGCTTGGTTTAATAGTAACGACTCAACTAAAGTTTTAAATGGCAAACGTTGGATGAGCAAATAACTATTTCAACAGTCCGGAGTTTTGCAAATATCTCAGCATTATATACGAGTTATATTTCACAACATGCCCTGCCATTAAAAAGAAAAAGGCAGTAAATAGAAGGGTTAAGATTATTTCAACAGTGTTACCTTTTTACTTACTGTATATGGTAATTTTTCACGGCAGAGTATTATGTGTGACACAACGACAGTAATGCTGAGATATCTGCAAAACACCGGAAAACAGGTGTCTGTGGTGGTGAACGAACGTGCTATTACCCTTTCTGGGGGCTAACGCGTTCACCAACGCGCCATGCCGGTCTTTCTTTTCGCCTGCTCTCGGCTAGTTTTCTCTAGTTTTCTCTACCTAGAAACGAAGGACCAGCATTGGGGGTGGTGAAGGCGTTAGTCCCCGGGAAGGGGTAATGGCTCGTTGGACACCTGCGGTCGTAGTTTTGTAAATATCTCAGCATCATCGTGGTTATTTCAACAGTATCAATTTGTGACATTGGAACATAACAGATGGGAAATTTATGAATCAAAAAACTGTATTCTCTAGTATACCACTCAAAAAATGGGCAAGGTTTCAAATCCCGTGTACTGCGCTCGTTCTTTCACTGCTGTTCAGATATCAAACATTAAGAATGTTTATTCCCAGTTGCGATGCATTGTAGAAAGAAGTAAATGTAGAAAGTAATACTGACCTTTATACTAGCAAGCATACAAATTGCCAAACTGGCATAATATCTAGTGAGGTCATCGTCTTGATTCACCAGAAGGAACAACCATTCGGGCAGCTGAAAAAGTAGGGAGGATATGTATTTGCGGCATGCTTCATGTATAATTGGCCAACTTCGAGAGCGAACCTTTTTTTGTATGATCTTCTTCTTTCCCTCTGAACAGGTGTAAAGGGTGAGATTAGCAAGCCCAAGGGCGGCATGGCGAAGTGTGGTCGGAGTGTCCATGGCTCTTTTGCTGGTGATGATGATGTGGTCCAGAACACCGTATTCGATCAGCCTGAACCCAGTATAAGAACTGCCGATCTTAGTAGGCAAACACTCAATTCGACCATTCCAAATAAGACATTTTCATTTGATGAGTTGTTCAACAAGGCGATTTCTCTGCCTACAAGCAATATAAGTGATGAAATCCATTCAGCGCGCTGATTCAAAAAGAATTCCAATTTCGTAGATACGGCGGCCTCCTCTTATTCATTCATCAAGAAATTAATCAATAATTGTACCGGTTCATTTAAGCAGATTTAGTGGACGCTTGTGATTTTTCAAATGTAGTACGGCTGACCTCCCAACGGTTTACCTCTTCACCGTGGCTGGGAGCTGTTACTGGGTGTTGGACTGCGATGTACAGCGGGGGGATTCGTCCCCCCGCAGGGTATCCCAAGTTGAGGAATCCGGCGTTTCCATCAGGAAACCTAGCTAGGAGTAAACCAACACCAGGATTCACCACCGTACCGGAATCAAAGTCGCATGGTGGTAAATCTCCCTCTGATCCACAAGGGCTGCGACTGCCTCTCGTGGTGACGACCTGGGGTAGACTTTGGCCAGGCTGTCCTCGGGATTCCAGGAAACCACAATGGTTTAACCAGCAAATCTCCGAAAAACGGTTATTATGCTGGCGCCCGCACAACTAGTGATGACGGGCGGTACAAGTGTCAAGTGTCAAGTACAGCTTGTAAATTTGTAAACTGACTTCATGTTGTTGAAGACTATTCATCTCTTGCTGAAATCCATAAGCTATTTTAGCAATAATACACTTTATTTTAAAAATCAACCCATTTGTGATGACATGGCCCATGTGGAACGGAGCAATTTTGCTGGCACGAGTTGCATATGAGTCACTGCCGCGAAAAAGTAGGCGCCGTCACCAGTGTGTTATACATAACTTGCTACTTTGGCAAGCAGCTGCGATATAATACACTGCAGTTTTTCGCGACTCAAATCCAGTATAATGTGATTTTGATGAGTACGATCCACAACTGACTTCAACGATGTGCTCGAGCTATGCTTGAACATGCTTTCTATGATGCTGAGACTCATTCGTTGCTGTTCAGCATTCTTATTCAGCTTCATCGCCACCGATACGATCTTCTTCAACCAACCCTACAATATATGCACATAGTCACGACGATTCATTCTTGAGTAATGCGTTTTTCACGACTGACCTTATTGACGATATATTCGCGATTGTTCAGCGACATGCACTCCTCCAAAACTCGACCACAAGCCAAGCGCACTGAAAAATTCTTACCAGTGTCTTTGTACAAGTACGGTCTTAGCACAGAAGAAATATAGAAAGCTCATTTTTCTTCTCGGAGCTCGCAAAAAAATACTTTCCTAAACATATGCGATGTGCGAAAGATGTGTTATAGACTGTTTGGAATTGAAACCATAAATTCAGGAGAATATACGCCCATCATTTCTCCACCATAAGTAGCCTAGGTTTCTTTCCTATCACAATTACATGCTCTAACCTTCAAGTCGTTGAAGATTTCCGCTATTATCCGGTTTCCAAGAGTAAAATAAAGAATCAAATGTAGTTTTTTATCGGGCACGTATAGTGCAGTAGGAAGAGGTGCCTACACAAGGCGTCGGTTCGATCCACAGAATCGGCCGAATTAAATCCGGAGGCGTCGAAAAACTGAGAACAGACTTCTCTGAGAAAATAAAGAGACTGGTTTGACATATCGGTATTCCCCTTAAGGTCAAACATACCTAAGTCCCACCGTTGTTATTTAGATCCAGCTTACCTTCAACCTACAACTCCTAAATCTTAACTTTCCTCGGTAAATTTCCATTAGTTAATCATATGCCTTTTATCTATCCAAAATTAAATTCGATGTCAACGCAATAGCACGAGGAGAGGGCACTCGCTCCACACTACAGCTGATTTTTTATTACAAAGGAATAGAAACGTGTCCTGGAACACGTGATAAAAGTGGATTTATCAGTGTTTCTAACATTGCCAACACGATCTGGGTCATGAAGATTGATTCCCTTAAACAACTAACAACCTAATGTTGAGATTGAAAACTTACTTACTTACTTGATACTTGAACGGCCCGTCATTACTAGTTGTGCGGGCCCCAGCATAATCTCTATTTTTCGGAGATTCGCTGACTAAATCATTATGGTTCCCTGAAGTCCCGAGGTCAGCCTGGCCAAAGTCTGCCCAGGTCTTCACCACCACGAGCGGTTGCCGCCCTTTTGGATCAGAGGGCGATTTGCTACCATGTAACTAACTAGTTTGACACCAGGACAGCGGTCGATCCTGGTATCGGTTTACTCTTAGTTAGGCTTCCTGATGAAAACGCCGGACTCCTTCTCAGCTTGGGAAACCCTGCCAGTAGATGAATCTTCCTGCTGTACGTCGCAGTCCGACACCCAGGAACACCTCCCAGCCGCGATGAGGCGGTAAACAGTTGGGAGGTGAGATTGAATGTGGGGAAAAGTCGCCATTGACAGCTCGTCGTCCAGAGTACCACCACAAACTGCGAAAAGCTATGTAAATTTATTTGTCGCGAATTTGGAGAAGTTCCGAGGGAAGATATGCTTCTCAAGGTCATTGTCAACTTGTTTATATTCAAAACACGTTAACCTACGAATGACACCATACTGGAATTGAGTGAACACGGTGAGAATCCGTCTGAGCAAATTACGATTCTAGAAGTACTCAGTATTAGACGTGGAATTTCTCGTTTAAAAGTCCAACTACGAGAGAGGTGAGTCAAATAACCTGTCCGCTTGCTTTTCACAAAAAGAGAAAAATTTCAAAAATAAACAAAAAGTACTACAAAATGGTGTTTGATCACTCTAGCTTTAAGAAAAAAAAACCGTTAGGCTGCAATGGTTGAGAAGAGCATTGAAAATGCTTGTGAGTACCTCGCCAAATATAAAGCAGGAGTGAGCGATTTCCGAACCCAATCGAATAGTCACAGCATCCCAAAGGCTATGGAGAAAACCGTTTGCAACTTCTGCTCCAATCTTATAGTCAGCCAAATTAATTGGCCCATGCCATGTCAAAAACAAATAATTTGTCCCCAAAACGGATGTAAAGAGCCGTACAACACCTAGCCCAATTAGAAAAGACCTGGATGTCTGAAAAATACAAACTATCAGAACGCAGTCTTCCTGATCAGTGAAGACCAGCAAAATCGTGTTGTTGGATTGGAAAAGAGGAAGTTATGCAGGTCATCGACAACCATTATGCCTGTTGCGAGTCGTCTACAATCTTTTTACTTGCGTTATTCCAACCATTCGACGAAGTATTGGACGAAAAACAGCCGTGCAATTAATCAGGTTTCTGGTGAACCATAGGCTCTCTGTTTAGCCGACAGAGATTACCTGGAGGCTAACTAAACCGATACAGCTTTATGAGCAGAATTTAACCATCATGTAACCATATTTTCATAAAAGACAAGCCGATAAAGTGATACAATGCTGTGGAAATTATTTACGGCAACCTCCGAAAATGTCAGGAAGAAGTAGAACGGAATCACACATGAGTGACGTCGGTGGCCTGAAGGTAGATCGTATTCGCTTTGTTGGCGACCTCGCTTTGTAATGGCAACCAGGTACCAGATGCGACGAATGCTAGCCCATTTAGACATCGTTTTTGGAAAAGTAGACCATGCTTTCAATACCATAGAAAAGAGCAGAATATTACCAAGCAACGCATTTTTCCTTATGTCTTATGCGTTCGAATGTTCTAGCTGTGATTTGTATCAGGGTCTAGGACTCAACAGAATGAACTACTTAGCTATAAAACTGACGGTGAAACGAAAAGCGTGGGAAGAGCATCAGTGTTGTTGTAAAGAGAGCAAAGAATACGCTGCTAGGTGGTCACCTCTTAGATGGCTTTGGCTCTTTTAGCCACTTTTTCGAATGCTGAAAGCTTCGTTTGCTGAACGAAGAGTAGGTCGCCATTTTCAAATGTGCTGTCGACAAAGTAATGCTATCAGTATGGTACATTATGCAAATGAAAGATAAAGCCTGAAATTAAACTCAATGTTCAGAGCCACCGCTGTAAACACCAAAATGTCGAAAACCATATGTACCAGAAACGTGAACTACTGAAGACGATACTTTTGCAAACGATAGAGACGAATGGAGAATGCTGGCACCCACTCGGGTAACTCGATGAGCAATGATGATAATATTTGTAAATATCCTCAAATGTTCATATAGTCAGTTCACTGACATCTTCGAAAAGCTAACCTGGCTCACAAGTCGTGGATCCGATGAAGAGTTTGATGAGAGCGTCGAGGTACATCTTTTCCCTGAGGTAGTCGCAAAGGGCGAACGACAGATCGTGGGACACCTTCGGGATCATCCATGACTTTGTCATTACTTTTGCCACAATTGTACATCCCTGAACAGTAACGGATCGGTCAAAGCAAAATAACCTTCAACTGCTTCTTTGTTCAAAGAAAAAAATTAAACAAAAAACGCACTTTTTGGTTTAGCAGAGATCCGATCTATTCAATATAGGACGGTGTTAAGCGTGAAAGCTAGAAAGTTAGTCTGATCAAAAAATATGCAGCTACGCTAAATTTGTGGCATTTTCCTAGATGGAAAATTGGCTTCCTTCTAACCACTACTTGCCCATAGGACCTCCACATAAAGGTTGTTGAAGAACTGCATAAGCAGCCGCTAAACGTCTGAATTTAGGGGTTATGACTTGCTCGAAAACTTGTCGCAAAGTTTGTGCATGGCATGAATAAAAATGTGACCTTTCAATTTTGAAGGTGCGACATTTTATTTTCATTATGTGAAGTTTTTCGAGTCTATTATACTCTCTGTTATTGAAGAACGGAATTTTTCAATAAACGAAAGATGTTGGACAAAATAGAAGGATAAAGTTCTCGTGTGATCAATCCCTAAGGGATGCGCCATGCATTCGACTTCATTAAGCATCGTTTGGAGGTGTTTGAATGCATATCTGGCCTTTAAAATGAATCGCGGTGGTCTACTGATGTACCGAACCAGTGCTTCTATCCTCCCAGACAAGTCTGGTACCGTTTGCGACCCCGGTGGGACAGAAGGCTTGGCGGGCCACGCGCGCGATGATCGATCCCATGTGTGTGTTGCATGGCGCCTCCGAGCGCTGCGCCACACGCGCCCATGTTAAAACTGTAATGTTCTGATGACGAAAAATGATATAAAAAGTGGAAAAAACGAGAGATGTATTCTTTTTTTGAAGAGCTTACACGAGGTTGATAATGATGTTTATTTTCGGCTAACGTTTCGACGTCTTCGTCTTCCTCAGAGCCGATGATCCGAGTCGATGGTCCTCGCTTGTTATTCGTCTCGACGTGGCAACTTCGCCTTCGTGTCGATTCAGGTCTTCTTCAGTGAGCCATCTCCTCGAATGAGGCATCCTTACTCAGTGATGCCCTTTCTTGTTTTTCTCCCGGACATAATCATTGCGCACATCGTGCAGAAGTCGGTGTTATTATCAGCTAGCACAAAGCGTAGTAATATTTAAAAATATAAAAGAGCATCACTGAGTAAGGATGCCTCATTCGAGGAGATGGCCCACTGAAGAAGACCCAACTCGACACGAAGGCGAAGTTGCCACGTCGAGACGAATAACAAGCGAGGACCATCGACTCGGATCATCGGCTCTGAGGAAGACGAAGACGTCGAAACGTTAGCCGAAAATAAACATCATTATCAACCTCGTGTGAGCTCATCAAAGAAAGAATACATATTGATTAGTGATACCGAGGTTCAAGGAAAGTCGGTTTCGAAATAAAACGAAAGATGTTAAAAATTAAATAGTCTGGCCATTTAATTAAAACTATGCTTCAAAAATCAAATCCAGAAAGACTTTCCACCGAGAAACAACAACAAAAAGTTGTTTTCACGCCAAAACAAGGATTCAGTGGGGATATAAAGGATACGTAGAAATTCAATGAAATAAAAGAGCCGGTTTGAAAGATTTTTAGCAAGGATGGCATAACTACGACAGATTTCAAGAACGACAGCTACTAAGTTGGATCGCACACTCGTCCCACTTCTAGTATTTAAAGAACATCATGTATCAAATCCCAAAAGCTTCTTTACATTCATCTCAGTATTGTTCAGTAAGTCAGTGCTGTACTCTTCAGCAGACACGAGATTAACAAAACTTGTCAATACTGGTTCACGTCTTAGCGGCTCCGCCTTCTTGAGAATCTCGAAAGGTCAAATCAACATCCAATCTGTTCAGCCAAACACTTTTATAGGCCAAGCGGAAAAAAAACTTAATACATAAATTTAATTTATAGACAACTGTGTCTCGTGTCTGCTCAAGAACTGAGTTGAAAACAAGGAATGATCGGACGAGAGTTCAAATACCTCAGATATCTCAACTGTTTGATAATCCGCTCACTTTGGTTCTGCATTGAGGTCCAACTTTGATTTCAAATGACACATGTTGTAAACTTTATGCGATATGAATTTCATGTCCTCTCATCACTGAGAAATCTTTTTTCCAAGGATATCTACGTGCCTCGATTATTTGTTCGTCGGTGGCTTGCATGATGTTTTGGAAAGCTTTGTCGATGAACGACTGGTACTTGGATGTCTTCGTCTTCAGGGTGTGCATCATCAGCACCTGCTCCGTGTTGGAGTGCTTCGTGATTGGACCACCATTCACCACGGAGTCTTGCTGAAAAGCCAGTCGATTAGCCGTCATAAACGATGTGTGGAACATTTGATTTGCTTCTGTAGATTATCAAATGCTTAAGCATAAATGAAGCAACGCTTTTTTAATTCTCCTGAAAACCAGAATCCACTTGAAGATGTACGATTGATCAGATTGTTTTAGGACTAGTAATTCTGGAAACAAATAGCTCGGACTTATGGTTTAATTTTATTAATGGGAGTTTTTCAAAGACCCCAACCACTTTTGTTCCATGGTTTCACCCGTTCTGAATAAAATATTTTTGTGTGGTATCCATGTCATAGGGCGCGTGTGGCGCAATGGTTGGAGGCGCCACAAGCGGAGTCGATCCCCGCGCCCATGGCCCACCAAGCCTTCCATCTCTCCGAGGTCGGCAAATTAGTACCTGACTTATCTGGGAAGATAGCAGCACTGGCTCGATACATCGGTTGGCCACTGTGGGTCATAGACAAGGCCAGATATGCATTCATTCACCTCTAACGATGCTTAGTGAAGTCGAATGCATGGCGCATCCCTCAAGAGTTGATCAACACCGACAGCTTAATCCCTTGTCGTTTTTATCCATGTCATAAAAACTCTTGACGTGGGTGACCTCAACAAAGTTTTATCCACAAGCTGATTACGTGTAGATGGCAAGTGTTTCACAATCAAGTGAGAGATAATGCAGCCATAGCCCAGCAAACATGGAAGCTTTCTCTTCAAAAGTATTCCCAGCGACAAATTTAAATTATGCCCAACAAGTTGCCGCACTTCTATTGAGTTCAAGAGAAGTTAGTGAAGAAAAAGTTCACTTCATAACAGTAGAGTTTCCACGGATCCTGCCTTTCATCAGGGCATGAAAATGATTGTGTTAACGTGCAACCTTCTTAGTCAACTATTTTCGTGTCGTCAGTGAAAAAACTGCAAACACTCCCACTTTTTGTCATGTTATTTTTAAGAATGCTATGCATTATCATGGTGTTAAAACGGGAAGGAGAATGTCTGACTGTACCTGCATAGGAAAATAGCACAAGAGATTGGTTTGAGTCAGGTGCAACTATGAGACATTCTGCCGTAGAGTTCATTCGTGGGATCTTGCAGCTAGCACAAAACAACTCAAGAGTTTGAACACAGAAATTTTGATTCCCTGGCTAGAATCTCAACTTTAGAATAAAAATTTTCGCCGTCTCATTTTAGCATATTTTGTCGAAGTTTAGGCTTACTCTATCTAATCGGTTATTGAGCGAAAATAAACCAGAACCAGTCCCTGTGCCATATTCACCAATGGTCGCCTTCTAAGAAAAAAGGAATATATCGTACCCCACGCAATCAGCGACTCTATCGATTGAGTGAATCATGAAGTACTGAGTTTATAGAGAGATGCAAGCGAACTGATACTATGCAGTGCCCGGTGGTAGTTCAACCACTGTCGCTGACCTCTCTGAGCTTTCTCTTTCGGCTATCGCTTAAACGCAGTGAATCTTTACTTAGACGTATATGCAGCCTATTCTCATATGACGTTTAAATTCCCTCTACCCGATTAGTTTGCTACCAACAGTCATCGATGGTTGCTGTTAGGTTTATGCGTGCGTCCGACTACCGCTTGAAGATCTGTCGCCTTTCTCATCTCATTGAATGCTAGTTCAACACGCTCTTCCTTGGAATTCTGAGACGACCTTGCTATTTCTCCAGGTATTCGCTCCAGTTTCTACCGTTTGCGAATCTGAGGATCTTTGCCCTTTTTGCCATTGTTTCTAAATGGAAACAATTCCTTCGAACAATTTCGGTCATTCCATTGAAGGACCAAGGTTGAATTAAGCATTTGTTTCTGGGTTTTAGTCACTACAATGGCTAACTCTTATTCCCGAAAATAGAAATTTTGCTTGGATAATTGCGTACAATTTTGTATGTTCTGACACTTCAGCAAACAATTCAAAATATTTCCCAAGCTCTTAAGCAGTCGAAATCCATCGAAAAATTAGGCGCTGTGAAACACTGTATTAACAGCCTAGCGTTACCTCATAAGGAACACAACTACTGATTAGTAAGACAGTAAGAAAAAAGTAGGCGAACAAGATTGACGAAATATGATAAGGAGAAGAATGCATTGTTGTAACATGTTTGGGTTCTTTGTGTCGCAAAGTAGACAAGTATTTGGGGATCAAAATTCCATTCTGCGCAGCAACCGGCTATGCAAAGCTCGAAAATCAAAGGTGATTTGAAGGATTTTTGTCCCTACACTAGGGTTCCATTACGAGGTAATTCCAAGGTAAATTTACGATAAACAAAAGAAAAAACCCACAGCAATAAGGTTGAAGCGATGAGGTGATGTTGTACGGGTGTCAGCAATGGGCGAAAGGTCGTCGATGGCGACGTCCAACTCCGGTCCTGCAGGCAGCGCTCCGACAGCCGAACCTTCCGACTGAAACAGCGATTTTGCCAAATAAACGTGCCTTTCAGTGACAATGAACCAACAGAATGCCCCGTTTGTGACTCCTCTATCTTAATATCATCCATTTTTTCTCCGAGAAGACGATTACTTAACAATCAGCATTTCGATAAGATAAGCTACCACCGGAAACGCATGTATAGAACAGATGGAAAAGAGCGGTCGAGCACTTCCAGACCATAAAAGGAATTCTAGTAACGCATTGCTGCAAAGTTTTGCTGATTAAAAGTCTGACTAACCTTAAATCGCCTATACTCGGAATCTTTTCGCGGCTTCTCATCTTCTCGAGGACACGGCGTGGATAAGGACTGCTGTAAACGGTTTTCAGACACTACATCCTGCAAAAAACTTGGTACGTTTACTCGCGTTTTATCGAGACGCTGATGACTGCACAAAAAGCGATAGTCCTTTCCTGATTTTAAGTTCGTCTCACTTTTTAAGTGACCTTTCTTCATTTAGATTAGCTACCCAAGTTTACAATACTCGCGATCAGAGGAACCGAAGCCAACGGTTAAGATCATGGAACTCGTATCAAAGCTCGTGTGGAGTTCAAGTTTAAATAGGATGGATCTTTTGCTTCAGAAGTGAAAAAAATCATTTGCTCAATGTATGCATGAGTCGTAGTTTTTCCGTACAAAAATCTAATACCATGTCGACACTTATTAAATTCTCCCTCCCCGTTTTGACAACCTACGCCTTGCACTTTGTTATCAGAAGAAAGTCTGTGTCATGTCGATGCCTAATACAGTGTCAGTCAGTACCTAATAGTAAGCAACACCGACAACAGAACTTGATGCGTTTTATGAAAATCCCAAGGAACCGGTTCATAACAAGAATTATCTCAACAAATTCGCTAATGGTGACCTCAATGCAAGGACAACAACGGCTCTTCAGCACAAACCTCTTCCGATTTACTAGATATAGACACTAATTCCCAACTGGAACGCCATCGCTTTTAACTTGCATGACTTCATACTTGAAAAGCAGCAAATATACCCATTGGAAAGGTTTGGGTGTCTTTTTACAAAAAAGAAAAGTACAAGATGAATTCAAGGCCGACTTTTCCACAAACGATGTCGAATCCAACCACCATTCATGTAATGCGGCCACTGATAGACGTTATAAGCACGAGGTCCTCAGCAAAACAAGTATGATCTAGCTTCTGGCCACCAAATTCAATCCTATGTAACTCTAATCCATAAATTTCAAGAATTCCTCAGATTCCAAAAACTAGAGACGATCCGCAAAGGGGACTGCCCTGCGATCACGGAAGATCTTGCCGTACAACTCAGGCTGTTCTCTTTTTTTTTTACCTAAGCGAGGCACACTACTCAACCATACAAGACTCTGTGCGGCTTGTGTCCACCAAATAATTGGAAGGCTTGCAAAGAACAAAACAGTGAGTATATCAAAACAGTAAGTGTTTAGAATAAGCTTTTTATTATGCGAATAAAGTTTATACATTGAGCCTTTTCTCCTTAGATTATTAAAATTTGGCGGAGTTAGTTGCGTGGCATTCTAACCTTTCCAAGCTCTGCAGAAGGCAAAACCGCTGAAACACCGGCCATTATTGAGTAAACCCTTTTATTAACAAACTCTAACTATCATTTGCTGCCTATCTGTTTCTCATGGCAAGGTATTCGGTGAAATTCAACTACAATGATGCTAAGATTTGAGCAAAACTTGGAACTGGCGAGCTTCGAACCCCTGATTACCCTTGCTTGGGACTCATGTATCGCACCATCGAGGCCCGTCTCTCTGTCAGCTAGTTTTTACTCTAACGGTGCTATGAGTAGTTGTGGTTGTACTTCACATAATAACCTCGTCCTGTTCACGAAGAAAAGATTAACAAACTATTAGATTCTCACGTAAATGATAGATGCAAGACAGTGAAACGAGTGGAAATTCTAAGATCCGCAAGCCATGTGAAAATGCGTTATCTAAGTAACGATGCACCTAATTAATTTAATTGATACTAATATCTCTTGGGGGCGGATAGTACAGTGGTAGTGATGCCCATCATCGCAAACATGGTGCTAGTTCGATTCCGCGCCAGGCCAACCAAGCCTCTCATTCCTCCAAGGTCGAGAAATTGGTATCGGACTTGTCTGGAAAAAGAAACTATTCCCTGCAGTCCAATTGGGAACGCTCCAGCCCGGTTATCCCAGGACTCCAGGGAGAATTGCTCGACCAACACTCTACGACATTCAAGATGAAATGAAAATCCTTAATGAGCAACCACACGTAAAAGAAGACCTTCGTGGACAATGGATGCGAGGAAACGAATTGGATGTGAGAAGCGCTGAGATCCGCACAGTAGACGCGAAGACGGGTCAAATAAAAAAAAATATCTCTTAGCTACAATGGTTTTATGATTATGCCAATAAACTAGACGACATATCTGCCAACATCAGCAAACAGCAACATAGGAGGAACTTCACTCCGATCGCACGACTGGAAAAACTCGGCGAAGTAGTTCTAAGCTGCTAACGCTCGAAATAAACGACAACACCAAATATCAAGCAAAGTGTGCTCCACATCGAAAACTTTTAATCTCTCATATTCTTTGACTCCAGCTCGAATTTCTTAGTCTATTGCATTATTCTATTTCTATTCATCTAGTGGTTATTATTTGCTCGTATGTCTATACCACGTATTTTTCCCTTTTTAAACATCCTATGTGAATTCACAAAGGACATCAACAGGTGGAAAAAATTTGGATAGCTTACAAGTATTATTCTCTTAATCTCCTATCTTCAACCCATGTTGGATATTTTTTTTTACGTGACCCGTCTTCAGTTCTACTGTGCGGATCTCAGCACTCCTCACATTCAATTCGTTTCCTCGACTGTTGCTTGAGGATTTTCTTTTCCTTGAATGTCGTAGAATGATGGTCGAGTTGATTCTCCCTGGAGTCTTGAGATAGCCGGGCTGGAGCGTTCCCAATTGGACTGCAGGGAATAGTTTCTTTCCCCAGACAAGTCCGATACCAATTTCCCGACCTCGAAGGGATAAGAGGCTTGGCTGGCCCGGAACGGAATCGAAGTAGCACCATTCTCGTGATGACCAGACATCATTACCACTGTGCTATCCGACCCCTACGTTGGATATTATTTAATTGAAATATTACACAGTACCAGGAAGGAAAGGAAAAATTTTCGAACAACAATTTTTGCGAGATGATATGTCTTGATTTCAGCCTAGTGCAGAAATGGCCCTAGCAAGCATAAATCTCAAGGAAATGAGGTTTTTCAATCTGATGACATCACAACCTCAAATGCTATAAATCCTATAAATCGAATGGCAATCTTATTGTAGTTCTCTTATGAAACCTTAACCCGCAACGCTGAGAGCAACCCTCTAGCTATTTTCAGTTCACAATATACACGAGAATATCTTTCGAAAAAAAAAGCAACAAAGAAAGTCACTTATGTTCAGAATGCTAACAACGCATATCAGGTGTAGGTGTGAAAGACGTAGCTTCGTATTTTGGCAAGATTCTTGCTTTTGGAGATTTAGCGAGGAAAACAGAAAAAAAAACGCTTCAAATGGCTTGAATAATGTGAAAAAGAAGCACCAGTAAAGTGGTATATTTACGTTTAAGTACTTGCAAAATATGGACAACTATCACAAACCTGATAGGTGTCAGCTCACAAAAAGTGGTAAATCACGAACAAATCATGAACAATTAATCAAGACTTATGCACTTTCCGTTTTATCAGTATTCTTGGCCAGAAATGGAGCACTGGGGTCACTTTTGGATTATGGAAAATAGCAACCCGCAACCCATTTGTCCGAGAATAAGAGACGAATATGTGTTGTCGCCTGGTTGCTAATTCATATCTCAGTCTGCCCTTATATAATCGATCATGAATGTACTTTTATGTTTTGAAATGAACGATTGAATGAACTGAATAAGCTATGGGATGATACCTGTACTTGCGAACGATTAGCGAGCTCATGAGGTCGGTGAGGATTGTCAGCAGGTCGGAGTACCGTAGGAGTGCTAGTGTTGCTCAACGAGACTTCCCCATTACAGATATCCGAAGAACTGGCGAACTAAAAACAGATGGTTTCTATACAGAAAAGTCATTATTCTACAGTTAGTTCTATCAACTAGTAAAAAACGGCTGCTTATTCGAATTTGGTAAGACAGGTGCTCGATTGGAAACAAGATTGATCGGTGAAGAATTTCACCGTTTAGAAAACAGTTTTATGGGTGCCATAGACTGTAAAGCTGAATTAGATTAATTCAAAAGACCGACTTCCTATAAACTTCGGCATAAATAATGGATACATCTACTAATATGTTCTTACGAACTGCCCTTGTTGAGCTGATGCGAGGTTGATGTGCGTTATCGTTGTTGTTGTTGGTCGACGGCTGACGTTTCGGTGATTTCCCCTTCCTCAGTCTTTTGATACCGGGATTAAAGCAGCCATCGCAACAAACAACAACAACAACAACGACGACGATGACAAATTGTACCAACCTCGCATCAGCTCAACAAGGGCAGCTTGTATAAACACATAAATAAATATAATGCAATAGATTAGTTCTTGAACTTCTCCCATTATGCCATTGGCATTTAGCAGCATTCCTCAAGTACTTCCTTGTTTACAAGTCTTAATCAAGTTCTGTGTCTCGCAACGACATATCCTCAGTGCCGACTAAAAAATGTAGGCAAGAAACGCGAAATGGAGAACGAGACAATCGAGGGACACTTTTTATATCCACAGCTTTTTGCACTTATTTTCATAGTAGGTGGCGCTGCCACAGATCTTTCAAAAGGTTACGAGAAAATAGTGCCTGAGCAGCCTGAGCGAATGGAGGTGCACTTTTCGGAGGCGGCGGAGGGAGAGCGATCGCAGGCGCACGGAGAGTTGGAGAGACCGATGGCGACGAGTCGGACGAGCAGATGTCGTCGTCAAGGTCCAGCCACAGATCGTTGGTCCTGAACGAGATTCTTCTTTTCAAAGACAAAGCATTTCAGCCTAGCGACATCCGTGAGGCGCGCTTTGTGTTCCGGCCACGTCTGTGGTGGTTCACAACAATTAGTTCCGAATCGTGATTGTCAATCCAGTTTATTAAACATTTCCATCATTTAGAATACTTAAAATGCGTAATGCACTAGATTTTAGGAATTGAGTACGGGTTTGTTTTATGGCAATTCTCGCACAACAGATTTATACACACAAGTAAGCCCTCTCCATGCAATTGAATCAGTCGTGGGTTGACACTACGTCGTTTCCTCGTTATTTCCAAGCAGCTGTTTTTCTCAACATGCATATAAGGGCCTCTAAGAATAGTAGCAATGCCGTAGAAAAAGCACCAACACCTCCCAGTACACCCACGTTTAGTTCCACTTAATTTAACACCAAATGAAAAAACAACTGCTGAACATGTCCCTTTAAAGTTAAATTTTCGTAAAAACGAAGGAAGGAAAGTAATCTCATTGAGTAAAAAGAGTTTGAAGGTGAGAAAACAAACAAGTGACGCTGTTGTATTATTCTACGAATCATACAGTTTTTATTTTACTAATCATATAGTTAGGAATACCGTACATTTTCATAAGTCTATTGAGAACACTGACTGCTCGGTAATGACGTAATCTTCTTTACGTTACAACTCAAAACACAGCAAATATACGATTTGACTTATTTAAAAATTCAAATAGACTTTGGCTGATGGGGAGGTAAGCTTGTGATTTTCCGAGAGACCAGTAGAATGCAATGGAAGACCAGATCCAGATGTGGCCGTTCAAGGTCGTCAGCGGGCACTCGGCGAAGAAAGTCGAGACAACTTCCTCAAGAAACCGTCGAATTCACACAAGATCGGAACTGCAATCGGTCAACAACCGCGAATCGCTTTATGGACAAAGACAGGAAAAGGGCAAAGAGTGCCTGTGAAACGTGCAAGATTCGATTGGTCTCTTAACAAGTCAGCCGGACCGCTAACATTGAGGAAACGAAATTGTCGAATCGAACTGTCGACCTCAGTTGCATTCGTCATTTCTGGACAACTGAGTACAGCCGCACAACAGTCTACAAGTCTCAATTCCAGGATTTGCAAATATGATTCAGTTTCGATCAGGAGTAATGTCGAACTGGCGTATTAGATACTGTATTTATTTAGATGCAGGTGCGAGTAATCAGGTGGCAGTCTAAAAATGAATCATCCAGAAACTCACCTAATCATTAGATTATGAATGTTCCTCATCCTTTTAGGAGGATTCGCTATACAACTTTTCAACGGCTGCGGTTCCAGACTGGTTAAATGGATCGAAACACTGATATAATCTGCAAATTATCGAAGCGAGTGCTACTACAAGACTAGGAAAAATCTAGGTAAAAAACCGTAAAATTTCAGTGCTAACGGTGTAAAAGGCTAGTACAGTCAGAAAGTCAAGCAAGACTAGTGAAGTATGAGAACGAGGGAAGAAAAGAGGTCCAGAGTCCAACAGGGTTGTCAGTTCAGCATGACGCGGGCGCAGTGTGAGCGACCTTAAATATTGGTCCTCATGCTTTCACACCTAGACTAAGCTGCTCTAGAGCAGTGAGAAACGATTTTTAAGCAAAACTGGAAAGAATTTAGTACCGGATCACCCAACCGTTGTTGACCTGTGCGAAAACTGTGGTTAACAGATCTATGGAGGTTTTTCGGATGGTTTTACGACTTGGGTCTACCATGATTCACTGAGATAGTGCACGTTACTTAACTCTCTTGTTATCTAAAGAAGCCATGTAAGCGATCGATAGAATATCGCGGGACTAAAAATTTATGAAGTTCCTAGATATTCTTAATTCTGCACTTCCCATAAAAATCTTCTTGCATACACGGAGTTTTAACAGGAAATCACGTGAGAAAAACCATGATATGAGCTTTGAATTGCGGTAAAGTGCTTCTTTACGTGATGCGCTATAGCTGAGATATTTGCAAAACCTGGGTCCCTTGCTGATTTGTGCTCCTAGATCATTCTCATTGACGATGGTGCAGCAAGTAATATGTGAGCTCTCCGAAAGGGTAGTCGCTGGTTCAAAGCTGGACTGGTGTCCGAGTTTTGCAAATACCTCAGCATCATTGTAGTTGTACTTCACACAATAACCTGGCATGAAAAAATACAGGTAGTGCGTAAAAGTTGAACATTGTGCTATGGGTGTTGTATGTGCTCCCAGTGAGAACAAATTATCTCGTCGTTCTCAGTATTCTGTCGAGGAACTGTGAGCTTAGGCATAGATAACGGGAAATTATGCAAACCCTATAGACTCACGTAAATAGCATATATATGGCACTCTGTAACTGGAAATGCAACGAAGCAGGCAGTTGTAAAGTTCGAAAATGGAAAGGAAACCACTCGCATGTGACCATAAGGCGTACTCGGAGAGCTTGAATTAAAGAAGAACCTATGGAAAAGAACGAGAACATAAAGCTTTGCTCAGTTTTCAACCTGCCTCGTTGATTCTTCTACTCAGGAAGAGTTTTAAAAAGTTAAAAGAGTAAATAGTAAACTATAGAGCTCTTTTGACACAGCTTATTACGATTACTCAATCAAGCCAAAATCGAAAGGAGGGAAAGCTCAAGAAAAAATTTTAAAAGATAAGTTTAACATTCTGCTATGATTCGAGCAAGCTCATGAGAAAGAGGCAGGCTACTTCTGAAAGACACTTTGAAGCATTAGTGAAAGAGAAACGCAGCAAAAATGAAAGAATCTCAAATACAATTAGCCTTTAGATCCAAAAACCTTCATATTTAAAGAACAAGTTTGCCATTCCATTAGTGGTTGCCTGTACCAGAACAACTGAAGTTGAGCGAACACCTATAATTAACGCTTTGGGGAAGTTTGCGGAGTTATTGGGTAATTTACTGGCCTGAGACCCTTTCGCTTCTTTCGCGACAGAAGAGAGTCAACAAAAAATAGACTATGAAAGCAAAGATAGTGTCAAAAAACTGTAGGCGAAAGTGCTAATTTATTGCAGTTTACGATTACTCATGGATGTAGGCGAATGAGCAAGAACTGTCGAAAGTGGGTGGCGGAGGGGGCGGACGAGAGGGAGCGACAGGGCGAGGCGCCGGTGTCTCAGCCTGGCCAGCCGGCAGCGCAGGCCGCTGGCAATCTGGGTGTTGAACCTAGAATGCAGCGCTAACAGGTCCGACAACGACAACGATACACATTACGCACGACTATGCAGAATTCTATCCTCCTATCTGATTATGACATCTAGTGAAGGACGCCTTTCTCCAACTAAGACTTTACCTACGAGCTTAAAACTGCTGAAGTTCCTCATATAGGTGCGTTGCTTATGAGATCACCCAAAATCTCATAAAATTGACTGCACCGTTGTTATTAACGCTGTTGAGACTCTTTGACTTCTTAATATTATTGTGATGCCTAAGTAAACTTCACTGTAAAAAAGGGACTCGCTGAACGATTTATAAACGAGTTCACGGTACTTCATCATCAACTACAGCTGAGCAGCTCTAACACGCAAGCCATATTCCTTCCAAAGCGCAGTAGAGATGTAAATTAAATGGGCTTTTCCTTTAAGCACTACTTATCGACTGTACGTAAAAAAGTAAGCTGACATATTAGAACGAAAAGCACATTTGTCTAATACTAGTCAGTCGATAGATTAATAATGAAGAGAGTCATAGATGAAGGTGAAGATTCGCAATGAAGCTCATTGGACGGATGGTTGTGGAGAATCAACAAATCAAACAGTTTGTCAAAGAGCTAAGAAATCACAGCCAAACAATCAATGGACAATCATTATGAGCAACAACCGTTCTGTGCAAAAAATGCTGCCGGGTGAGAACGTCTCATTCGAGTGGTGCTGCACTGAAGAAGATACGACGTCAGAGACACCGTATTGAGAAGACGAACGATTGTGGACCATTGACTTGGTTTATCGGCTCTGAGAAAGATGAAGACGTCAAAACCTTAGCCAAATAAATGTTTACTAGCAGTCTCGTGCTAGTTTGACAACGAAATAAGGTACGAAACTAAACAGTTTGTAGACGATGTAGGAATTCACTGACGAATACGTTCTTGCCTTATCAAAAATGCTTTCTCGAAGGCTCCGCCCAAACTAAAAGCTAGTCCTTAATGATAAAATTCCGCTGAATTTTAACAACTGCCTGCTGATCGTTGTTTTATGGGAAGGAATAGCCTGACCCCTTTCCAAATACGTTATTCTTCAGCCGCTGCTTAGAGCTGTGATAGAGTATTCCCCTAAAAACCGCCTTTAGAGAATAAAAAACACTTGTGGACTGATCTCCTTCTGCCACGACCGACTTTCTATTAACCTCGGCATTGAACAAGTAATTTTCTTCGTATTTTTGTTGAGCAAACGCGAGGTGTAACTATTCTTTGTTCACGATTAAGCTGACGTTTCGGCGAATTTCGCCTTCTTCAGAGCCGCTTTCTATGAGGTTTCCACTAAATATGTTACGTAGAGACCAACCGCACAGAAATCACGTTGAAGTATAATGTAAAAATACGAAGAAAATCACTTGTTCTCCTTCTTTCCTTCCCAAAAAAAAAACAGAAAAACCACTTTAGAGTTTTTTCGTTGAAAGACATTTACAACGTTGAAAAGCATAAATCCGCTGAAATCGCCAACACACATGAGCTACATTTAGTTTGGATCTGCTTTTTTTTGCATCAACTTTCCAAATGTTGCACTTTCGTGGGCTTCGTCACACATTCATTTAGTGGCAAAGATCGAAAAGTGTAGACAAACCAGATAGCGAAGCCAAGAGTTCACATTTTGAGCCACTTTGTTACATGTAAGCTAAGGCAAATTGGATTCGGAAAAGAATTCCAGCGTTGTTTTTCCTGCCGCTTCCTTCCAATCCGGAACCTTCAAACATTAGATCCCTGTCACATAATGATCATCACAACTGTTTCGACTACACTTGGCATACTCGTTCTGATGCTCACCTTCACCAGAGATTCTGTAGAAGGCGACGAGGTTGCGCTCAGAATTGTATTTTCAGTTAACTAAGTGAAAGTTCGAATCCTCAGTCGTACATCTATCTTCGCTTAAAAACAGGTATTGAACTTTCAAGATATCCAGCTTCTCAACAGTGAACGAAACCCCATGAATTTCATTTTAAAGGTGGGTTTGATGTATTTAGTGACTTATACTTTAATTTTAGGTGCGCAGTGTAATACCTGTTATAAGGATTCAATGTAAAGTTAATTCAGTTCGCCGATTTTCTTGGATTTTCCTCGATGCTGAATTTTTCTAAAGAGGAAATATTTTATGATAATGGAAAAGTGATCAAACCTCATATGCGCAACTTACAACGAAACAAGGAAGTGTTCCGCAATGACCAGCGAGTGCCGTCGACTGAGCGATGGCTCGCAAGTCGGCGAGGGCATTCCCCACGCTCAACTGGGATGCGAGTATCCGTCTGACGCCATCAGGGCAACTTCGCCCGAGACCGATACAATGGGCAAAGGCTTCTAGCAGCGATACCTGTCGTCCGCTTAAAGCTCTACTGAGCAGAAGTAGCGATTTGAATCGGCTCAAACAGCCGAGTCGCTCTAATAACCCTAGAGCTAGATCGAATGAAAGCGACCAGCGCCCCAACAACAAAACGGCTGACTTCATCTATCGTAAAGCAATTTTTCTACGATAACAGAAAGGCAAGCATCGTGAGAGTTACTTGAGCACTGAACACGACTGGAAACTTATGAGTAATTTCGTCAAGGCGAAAAACTTAGCGCATGGGACAATACAAACCCATGGTATTCAATTGAGGAAACGAAATGATTCATTTGATTTGTTAAGGATGGAATGATAAAGAAATTGTATACGTTCAGCACATTCATGTGAAGGTACAAGAGTTCTTTGTAATTCGGTGTCACTGAATGACATACAGACTTCTTACAATAGCTTTGTTTCGGTTGATAAAGATTAGATAAGCATTAAGGATAAAACGTCTGGCGCGATTAATCCACAGGGAATAAGCCTTGCATTAGAGTTCATCAAACATCGTATAGGTGACTGAATGCATGTTTGGGCTATGTAATGAGTTAGGGGACGGACCGATGTGCCAAGTCGGTGTTTTCATCGTGGCAGACAAGTCTGGCACGAATTTTCCGACCCTGGAGCAATGAGAGGTTGTTTGAAGAACGGAGTCGTGCCAACGGTCATGTATGTAGTGCAGAGCACATCTGAGAAAGGATAAGAGGAGAATATTACACTGAGTTAGAAGATAACACTAACATTTTTCAGAGGCAGAAAAGACAAAGACAGAAAAACGGAAGCTGGACCCGGAAATTAGACCTCTGCTTAATTTCATTAATTTCCACAGCTCAGAACTTATGATGAAAAGATCAGAATAAAATATACGGATGACGCAGCGGTAGATGAGTAATGCTACATCTTTGGAAAATTTCATCTGAAATCACAGCAACCAGAGTGCACTGCTGATCTACACAACAGAGGTCGACCTCGGAGCGGGGTTCGGGAGCGTAAAATGTGTTATCGTGTGATTCAACGAAAAGAATGAAAATAAGAACGATGAAATGTTTAACGATAGGGCCAAGCAGATTATGTATGATTCTACAAACGATATCATTCGCTCGACTGCATTCTTGAGGAAAAGATGGCAGAGAGATTCTGGTTGTCGAGTAGGCCTCAGTAGAATGTGGCTGTAGTGCATGTGGCAAGCAAATCGATAGTATACGTATTTTGGCGGGTAGCACAAAAAATAAGGAGCATTCTGGCGATGATGGAAAGAGGTAAAATGCGCACACGTTCGACCTCGATAGAGAGCAGGCTCTCCGTGTTTATTGTGAGAACATGGTCGTTGTTTTTATCCCGGGGGAAACGACGCGAATCTCAGATGATTTCGATCAACTGTAGCGAGATGAAGGCTTGCTGCGAGACGTTCGCAAAAATTCTCAGGTGAAGTGTGCTGTGAAGTTCCAAAGCAGAAATCTTTCTTACTCCTCATAGCTTTTAAGGTCTAGACGCAAACACCTATACCGTACAACTGATAGGCACCACCCGCTCATAGTAAAAATTAAAATGATCAGTTCTACGATTTCAAAAATTAATACGGATATTCACTTTAGAGCTCTCATCACTTTGAAAAAAGGAACTATGGTCCATCACGACACTGTCGTGCGTCGTCTCGCCCTGCTTCCGTTTTGCTCACGACCTTGCAACTGCCATCTATGGAAGAGGCTGAGTTCGGCTGTGGCACGATGTGCCGTTTTTCCTACTCGCCAACATTGCGGATGTTGTTCGAGTGTAGAATTTCCTGTTATTATGAGTAGGCATCGTTAAGTGGGGTCAAAGTCGTATCAAAGTAGCAGTTGTAAATCTTAGAGGGATGGCTTGTTGCCTTACGACAAGTATTCTTCCACAACCACAACAATATTCAACTGCTTGCGTTGTAACACGACGAATCTCGTCTCTCAAAAGAATATTGAAAGCAAAAATGAACATCCGACAATTAAAAGCAAAAGAGTATTTTCCTTGATGTGAGCAAAAAGATGTGGCAGGTTCGTGGACTTTTTCTTCCGTTTCCTTGTGTCAGGCTACTATATCACAATACTTCCAACAGAAACCTAGATGGATGGCAGCGGATTTCTTTGGCGCTAATTTTTTTGAATAACAGGGAAACGTCGAGAAGAATACTAGCATCTTCGATTCTCGAAATTCCTGGATGGCGCACAAAGAAATTTTTGTAGCACTGTTTCTCCGGCGCTACCAACGATGTAGAAGCATTGAAATTTTTAAGATAGAACTGTAGGAACATTTCAATGACTACGATACGGAGAACCGTTGTCTTAAATACCATCCAATATAGGTAAGAAATCTCATTAGTGACTCATTTTTTGTTCAATTAATTATACCCGTTCTTCATTTTACCAATAAGGAGATAGCTCTTAATATCTCGCACTGGCACTCATAGAGGATGGTAATTACTCACAAGAGACTAGAATCACTTACGAAATTGTTTATTGTTATTGAAGACCATATTCAAGCGTAAAAGCTTCCACCTAGACGCTGGACCCACCTGCTAATTACGTGACGCCAAAGGGTAGCGGGAAAAATAGAGAAACTCCTTCCGCCTCTACACAATTTATAAATTACCGAGCAAACAAGAAGACGTCAAGAGAAGAAAGAAAAGGAAAGTCTCTCACACAGCTATTTCCCGTGCAGAAGCAGACGCTGCGCCGAACAGTGGGCCAGTTGCAAATGGTCCAGCAATTTTGGATCGCTAACATTCCATAAAGGTGACCGCCACTATCGAAGAATGTTTCGTGACGGCGAAACACAACATAATTACTGAATAATGGCGATTCAACGCTTTGCCATTCAAAAACCAGCGCTATTTTAGGATACGTGTAGAATCTGTGAGGAATTGAGTTTTTTGCGCTATTTGGTATTCTTACAGCAATATTGAAATTATACGGGATACTACAGTTTTCATTGCGACATTGGCGAACCCCCTTCTATCACCGATTAACTTTCTTGAAGTTGGTTCGGTCCTAAAGATCTTAGAGTAGCGTTTTCTGATGCACTGTGCTTCTAATTAGCAGGCATACCACGTTTACCACTTAGCCTAATTCCTGAATGACGTAAAGTTAGCGTCAAAGAAAACCCACTACATGCCTTCCGTTCGAAATATTCTCATGAATTAGTTCGTGTTGACACTACTTGAGAAGTTAACACCAAAAGTTATCCCTAGACTAAAGAATTCTTTACAATTTCCCAAGTCTTTAAGTTTATAATCGCTGTAGTTTGAAAAGCATAGTCACTGAGGGAAGGTAGTTGATCGGACTTAGCCAGTTTGCTTTCAGCTCCATCGAAAATCCACTCACATTTCCTATGTGGAGAAAAAGTGATATGGAAGGTAGGAGGAATGCTCTTCCTATGAGGTAGCTCTACTATATGTTGATTCCTCTGAGTAGCTTTCCACTGCTACCTATTGTACATAATCTACAGTTATGAGAAAAAATACTGGTTTACACTTGTTACAGATTGATTTCCACTATTTGAGAAGGTTCTAAGTTATTCGGAACATCAAAAACTAATGAAGAACCTGCGCACTTCAATCAAAACTTCAACGCCACCAACGAAGGAGAATTTGAATCATATTGGATGAGAAGATCGCATTAAAAGCTTTTTGTCAGCCTTGATATATTCTTCATTTATCAAACCGTCGGTCAGTGAGCACCACATAATCCCGACAGCCTTCAGATCACTAAGTAAGAGGATTATTCTGCGACTAAAACAAGAATTCGAATGATCGGCATCTCTGGTGACTAATGATTCGAGTAACCAGAAACCGCCCCCTACTTCCAAAAGGGGATGTGTGTCTAAGAGAAAAAATTGATTATTTAAAAATCTATAAACCAAATATCACAGTGGTGAACGATGTGCATTGTTGAAAGACGCCTCTTGTAACGACCTTTCAAGGCTCGAAAATGTCCCCTAACACCTCTGCCGAAATAAATAACGTTACGTGTACAATTTCTGGTTCTGTTAGCGCTTCCAGCTGGACTTCAACATTCCGGAATCAAAACGATAGAAATCCTCTCCGTAACGATTTTTTAGATACGAAATCGAGACATGAAATACCTGAATAGAATAAAAAAGGATGCAAACTGTTTGGAAATCTGTGTCTATAAGTGGTATTCCTCTTTAGACCCTATTAAATGAACTGAGACACAAAGTGGAAGCTACATAAGCACTTTTAATGCAATCTCGAATAAACCGAAATAATGAAAATGATGAAGTGGCGAATAATAAAATAACGACGCCAAGTTAGTAAGTCAAATCACAATGAAGCTAAGACATTTGCAAAATTTGGACCCCAGGCCAGGGTAATCGCGGGTTCCAATCTGGCCAGGTGTCCACGTTTTGCAAATATCTCAGCACCATTGTTTGCACTTCAACTAATACCCTGCCGTTAAAAAATAATAGGCAGTAAAGAAAAGGCAAGACGTTAAGTCAAATTAGTCCAAAATTTAGACCTTATAAAGTAATACACAGATGTCGATGGGAACTGAATAACTTCTAACCCTGAGTGGTTGCTTTCTAAACGTATTTGTGAACTTAAAAGAAAGAAGGAACTTGAACTTAAAAGAAAAAGGGTTTTAGATAAAACTAAAAGTGCCATGCCGAAGGTGTGGCAATTCAATACCGTCCTTTCAGTTTAAAAAGAATCTCTCGTAGTGAGCATGAACTTCTTCGACTTCATAATCATCAAGCAACGAACACTCGACTACTTATGTCTCGTACAGCTTAAGTTTAATAGATGCAAATGGTGTGAGCAAAAAGAAATTCGAGTCAGGCAATCGATTCCGACGAAGATGCCAGAATGAGTAATTACTCTTATCAACAGTTCTGAGCTCAACAATCCGATACGATTAGGACTAAGACCTAAGCTATTTATTCTTCAGCTCGTTAGCTGTTATCAGAAACGAAGATACAACAAGGACCTGTTCATTTCTCGCATTCCTCTATCATCACCTACTTTCCTCCATTGATATTCGTCCAGTTGGAGTCGGAAATTAGACAAGGAATAGTTTGACACAAAACCAAATCAATAAAGTTACAATAAAAGAATCGTTAATTACGAAGGTTACCAATAGCAAGAAGAACAACGAATTCACACCTTAGAAACCTTTCTTTGGAACGAAACACAGCCGCATAGAATTCCGATCACAACCAATAGATATCCTTTATATTGTCATGTTGCACGAATCTTAAAATGCTTTTCTATCAATGGAATGGAAACTAAGAAATCATGAAGAGATAGGCTTTTAGGCGAAATTCACTATTATTCCAAAAAATCCTTTCCTTATGGATGTTCAGCTTAAAAATAGGTTTTTTCTAGTCGTGGTAGTTCAAAGTGGTCCGATTTTCGAAAAAGTACTAATCACCCACCATTTATGGATTTCTCGGGAGTTCAAATATTGCTCGTTCTGCCCCGGCTTCCAACGAAGAATCACAATATGGGAAAATTTAGATGAGGGTTTCTCCTAGGGAACGGATGGTTAGAGGAACAGTAGCTTGCAAACTACTAGAATCGGTAGTCATCCGAGTCGCAGAGCTGCACAGAACGAGGCAGAGCGTTGCGTTGAGAAAGAGTTTGTACCTTTTCGACATACGTCCTACTGATAAGCGTTGATAATGGCTTGTTTAATGGAATACGAAAAAAATAAGGATTTCAGCGATTTGCACTTAAAGCGTAGAATCTAAGCCCGTCTTCAAAACCTGCAAATGATTGCAGAACGAAATGAGAAATGCTCCTCTTAACAAGAAAATGTTCAAAATCGCATAACTTCCATCCAAAGAATATTTACGGAGCTTCGAGAAATTGAACATTTAAAATTGAACACCTTGATGGCGAACTGAAAAGCGCGAGTTTTGATTCTGAATAGACGTTTTCAAATCGGTCGAACATGAAGACCACAGGTGCTGTCAATGAAGGAAAAAGCAGTAACAAAAGAGTGAAATAGGCACAGAGGGTCAGTTCAGTTTGTTTTTCCACTTTGTTGAGCATGAGGAGAAAAACAGCCGAAAGTCTATATGTGTGCATGGGGTGATTGAAAACCACGCAACATTAACGGTTACGAGGCATCGTTGACCGTTCGTAACGAGGATTCGCGAAATGATCATCTCAACATATCTCTGCTTAGGAACGAACTTTAGAACTAATCAGGTAATAGAGTATGTATCAAATTAGTGTAGAAAAAACAGGTGTTAAATATCACGTATATGCTGATTAGCAGCAAAAATAGCGTCTAATAATTCCGATCAGGTCGCACTTTGGTTAGTTAAGGTTTGCAGAGGTTACGATAGTGCGAAAAACCAAGTCATTTTTGAGAGGCCCACAAGTGAAGGATACTCGTTTAATTTTGCATGAAGGGTACAACGATCGTTAGCAGACACGGACAGACTGTGGACATCGTTCGCGATGGAGTGTGTGCTTTTTGCGACAGTGGACGAGAGTCGGGCGCGATGGGGCCAGTCGCCGGGCCGGCGGGCCGGCGACAAGCTCACCTTCCTAGGGGACTGCGGCGACTGTAGGTGGAGACGGAGGCGTCCTGCCTTGCCAGCTGGTTCCTCTCCTCGCGAGTCTCGTCGGCCATCGTCGTCTTCGCCCTCACATCCTAAACAGCTACCTTTTCTTTTCTTAAACTCTGCTCTCATATTGTTTGTTTCGTTTAGTTCGTTTTAGTCTGAATTCGTTTTCATAATGGATGCAACGGGATTCTAATGAGAAAAAACATGCGAAGAAAACCATTCTGTAAGCTTTCCTCTCATAACCAGCAAGCTACTTCAGAGAGCACGGGTTTGCCAATCTTGTGACTCTTAAGAAGTGCATAGATAACTTTGTTTAAAATGGATTGACACCTTACTGCGCTTTATTTACTCTTTGACAAATTTCTACTGTACTCGAAAAAGTACGGGGGAAATACACTCGTTAAATGCAGAACAAACAAGTTGTTGAATAAACATAAACGTGGCTCCATTCCTATTTCATAAAGTGTTTGGAAAAAAAACTTAGTTTACCTTTTATTTTCTGCCTACTATAATTTTTACGGCAGGGTATTAAGCGAAACACAACTACAACGATGCTGAGATATTTGCAAAACTCCGGACCGCACGTGTCTGCGGTGGGGAGCGAACGCGCTATTGTTTTTTCCGGAGAGTAACGCGCTCACCACCACACCATGCGGGTGCTTCGTTTCGCCTGTCTCTGAGTAAATCTCGGTAAAAGAAAAAGTAAAAAAAAGCTTAAAAAAATAAAAATCAAAAAAAGTTGGTATAAATCGAAGATGAAACTTCCTAAAATAAGTGTTCTCAGAATTGTTTAATCAAGTATTTTTTTTTTACTTATTTTATATGATCCGTCTTCACATCTACTGTGCGGATCCCAGCACTGCTTACATCCAATTCGTTTTCTCCCATCCATTGTCCATGAAGATTTTCCAACTTTACGTGTTATCTCGGTTGCTGCTTGAGGATTTTCATTTCATCTTGAATGTGCTAGAATGCTGGTCCAGCAATTCTCCCTGGAGTGCTCAGGTAGGTGGGCTGGAGCTATTTTGGGTTCCCAATTGGATTGCAGAGAGTTAATTTTTCCATAACAAGTCCGGTGCCAATTTCCCCACCCCGGATGGAGAAAAGGTTTGGTTGACTCGGAGCTGAATCGAAATACCACTATGCTCGTGATGACGGACATAACTACCACTGTGCTATCCGCCACCTAATCAAGTATTAACCTTTAAGAAGTTATTTGATGAGAGATGTAGGACCTTCTTATCCATAGTCGTAGTCCTACCATTCTCTTGTAAATTTGCCGCGCTATTGTCGGTATCGTGCAAAATTTTGGTTCTAGCGGTTTTGAAAACAGAGCTTTGATTTTAGAAATGAAGAACTAACGAATGCGGTGATTTCTGAGCGTTATTCGAATGACACTAAGCTGAGCTCAACTGACTTTAATCGGCGGTCTCCTGGTGATCCTCAAATCGGCTGCTGCCAGTTCAGATGCGAAATAGGAGCGAGTTTCCAGCGAAACACCCGAATTTCCCGCCGTTGCTGAGGCTTCTGCAAAATAGAATTTTATTCCATATGTAAATGGACTTATTTTGAGCGATAAGTAGAAGCACCGTTTACAGATTTTAAGAGCACGTCGAATGGCATAATGAAAAGAGCGAAAAGTTTGAAAAAGAGGTCAGATTGAGAGCGAATTCGTAGGAAAAGAAAAGATGATCCCGGTTTTTTTTTACCTCCCAACGGTTTACCGCCTCATCACAACTGCGAGGTGTTCCTGGGTGTCAGGCTGCGAACTACAGCGGAAGATACATCCCTCTATAGAGCCTCCCAAAGTGAGGAGTCCAGTGTTTCCATTAGGAAGACCAGCAAAGAGTAAGACAATACCAGGATCCACCACCGTCCTGGTATTAAACTAGTCGTATGGTGGCAAACCTTCCTCTGATCCACAAAGGCTGCGACTGCCTATGATAGCGACGATTTGGAGCAAAATTTAGCCTGACAGACCCCAGGAAACCACAATAGCTAAACCAGCAAAACTCCAGAAAAATGAAAGTTATGATGGGACCCGTCCAACTAGAAAGGACGGGCCAATCAAATATCCAAGTATGATTTTGGTTATCGATAATGAACGACATCGATATTAAAAAGAATGCTCCTGGGTATTCGACTTCGATACTCGGCTAAGAGCGGTACCATACATATGTCATACTTAGTCATACACACGTACATCTTCTTGTCAAAATGCTAATAATACAGTGTCTAGTGGAGGGGGTGAGTCAAGTCGTGTTATTCAGGCAAAAGGAGCCCTCTGAGCAACTCCGACGCACTACTTAACAAGTAGAGCTTTGTTGGTGTCCGCTCAAGTAAGATAAAGGTAAGTAAGAGGATTACAGGCTTGATATCCACGGAAGAATGATTAGAAAGTGATCGGAAAAACAGTTCACTCTATAGCTCTTGTTTGAATTATTTGTTCCAAATCTCCTAAAGCTTCAATACAGCATTTTTTCAGAGCGGCAGACCTTCTTTGTGGTGAATCTCTAGAATCATTCATAAGCACAGATGTCTTGCTTATGGTCTCATCAATCAGAGCATAAGATCTTTTCATTGTAAGCTGTTGTGTACGAAACTGAAATAGGTATTAGGCAAGCAAAGAACCCGCTAGTTTAGAATATTTGAATAAAAATCTAACGAGTCTCGTATGAGGTCTCATAACTTGTGGAAGAAGAAGTAGCGAACCAGAAATAGGAGACAGTAGTCCTTTCTTGAATTAATGGTATACGTGAAGCGCTTTTGGTCTAAATTTCTATTAATTATGGAATGAAAAGTTCTTATGCAAGAAGTTGAAGAAAAATGTTATAACAAGTTAAAAAAATATATGATAAGTTGGTAATAAGTACGACTTGCAAATACTTAAATTTACCCCTTAGTTCATAGAACTTTCTATGAGCCATACATTTGGTAACAACCGTCGAAGTAAAGTGAAGGGATTAACAAAGTGGTAACGTCTCACCAAAGAGAATAGGACGAGATGGGAGTGACTATCGATGGCTGACAAAATCTTCACTCTTCTAATGGCACTGTATTTGTGGTATTAAGTTTTAACTAGGCGGGAAAAATGTTCATGGAAAGAGCTTGTGTAAAATCGGGTCTTTCCAGAATTTTAACCCAACAACGTCCACAGTAAACGGATTTGTTTCTGATGCCACACTTATGCTCAACGGATTGAAAATGCTTCAGCTATATGTTCATCTGGGTTGAGAATTCGACAAGATGCACAGAAGCCTAACAACAGAAAGACCACTGTCTAAATGGTCGGACCTCCTCCAGAGGATACTAGAAGAAAGGTACGGCGCTGTCCGAATTGCTCGAGCAAGTGAAAACGAATTAAGCAACTTCTTGGAGCCCTAGAAAAAGCAGTGCTTCGTTGGTGTCCTTGTAGTTACTCGATGACCAGCAGACAAAAAGATGACTCATAATGAGTGATTTCTGAAACAATATTAGTCAAATCTGATTGTACACTATCAAGCTTCTAAGTCGATTAACCCGTAGATTGACTTTGTTTTGATCACTTCTTTGAGGGACAGAAAACAAGAGTTCAACTATCCCATGGTGAAAATAAACAAGAAATGACAGTGAATCAGGAACAGTACCGCACAAATTCCTGCAAATGACAGGCGGGCGTCGAGTCCTATCTCACTTGCGGTGAGCGAAAAAAATTTTTAGGGACTCAGTCGCCTACTCATTAAGGGTTTGTTGTTTTTCATCGACAGCAAACTGTACACGACTTGCCAAACGCCTTGGCGAGAACTTCACTTGATGTCATCGGTATGCCCTGAGTGACATGGTTCCCACTGTTGACACAGTGACAACAAGACAACTCACCCACGCACTCGGAGGGCTTTTCCAAAACGCCTCCTCATATTTATTTCGTCTCAATCAATTCAACTTTCCAATTTCCACAGAGTATAGTATTTTAAAAAGCACTCACCAGCAATGAAGCTTTATTCTCTAACAGTTCAGGCTTTCTGATGGCGTTGAGAAGGTCCTTCACCAGCTTTTTGTTGTCCTCTTCAATAAAATAAACAAAAGAAAGTAAAAGGAGCTAATAAAACAATCTACTGGTTTTTGGCACTTAACTGGACCCAGACTAAATGTATGGATGTAAATGGTGTGTGAAACACTTAAAAGCTTTATTATTATTTAAAAAATAGTATATGAGTCATCCTCCCAATGGTTTGCCGCCTCATCGCTGCTTGGAGGTGTTCCTGGGTGTCGGACTGCGATGTACAGTGGGGTGATTCGTTCCCTCGGCTAGATCTCCCAAACTGAGAAGGTGTCTGATGTTTTCATCAGAAAGCCTAGCTAAGAGTAAACCAATACCAGGATCTACCACTGTCGTGGTATCAAAGTCGCATAATGACAAATCTCCCTCTCATCCACAAGGACTGCGACTGCCTGTCATGATGACGACCTGGGGCACACTTTGGTCAGGCTGTCTTTGGGATTCCAGGAAACCACGATGGCTTAACCAGCAAATCTTCGAACAATGGTGATTATGCTGGGGTCCGCACGTCTAGTGAGGATGGGCCGTTCAAGTATCAAGGAATTAGGTATATGAGTCATAGAAAAGTATGCGATTAAAATGAAGTACACCTTTTGTTCAATTTCAGTGTTCCTCGGCTTCCCAGTTCTATCTAATAAAAGCTTTAAGAAATGGTTGAGTTTAGAACCTGTCTTTTGGAATACTGTTGAATACACGACATTGTTACCACAAGAATGCCGAGATTTGAACAAACCTCGGAACCCCAGAGGAGCTTCGATCCGGCGAACACTTTTTCAGGAGGTTCAAATGTTATCCATTGTAGCAGCCCAGACCATTGCTTTGCCTTTCTCTCAGACGATATTTGACATCGGCAGAAGGGTAATCGCAGGTTCAAACTCACCTGTGGTTGTGAGTTTTGCTCATATTTTAGCATTCTTGTGATTCTTGCCATCGAACAAAGAATAGGCAAAAAAAGTTAAAACATCATGTTAATACTCTTCCTAGCAGAAGTCGCCAACAGTTTTTAGATCAGAAAGCGACATTAGTTGTCATTATTTCAAAAACAAAGTATTCCAGCAGCTTAGACAAAACATAATTTATTTAACCACAACCTGGCTGAGATATTTTCAAAACTCTGGCCCGCAGGTGTCTATGGTGGGGAACGAACGCGCTATTGTCCTTTCCGGGGAGTAACGCGTTCACCACCACACCATGCGGGTCCTTCGTTTCGCCTGTCTCTCAGCTATTTCTATCGATCTTTTTGCCACAGCATCGACAGAAATAGCTGAGAGACAGATCGATAGAACGATAGGAGAAATATCGGTAAAAGATATCGATCGATAGAAGATCGATAGAAATAGCTGAGAGACAGGCGAAACGAAGAACCCTCATGGTGTGGTGGTGAACGCGTTACTCCCCGTAAAGGACAATAGCACGTTCGTTCCTCACCATAGACACCTGCGGGCCAGAGTTTTGCAAATATCTCAGCAACGTTGTGGTTGTATTTCGCTTAGTAACCTGCCATAAAAATTATACAAGGCAGAAAACAAAACGTTAAACATAATTTATTTAAATTGTTAATCCAAGTCACTTCGAGTGAAATAGAACCCTGGTTTTCCTCGAACGGTGAAATCCACCTAATCCTAATGGAAAGCCAAAAAGGATTGCGGTCTGTCATTGATAGACTATAAAAAAGAATAGAGCTCTCAGCGTTGATCAACCTGTGAGAGATGCGCCGTGCATTCGACTTCACTAAGCATCGTTTGGAGGTGATTGAATGCATATCTGGGCTTTACAACTACTTGTGGTGGCCTACCGATGTATCGCGCCAGCCGTGCTATCCTCCTAGAGAAATCTGCTACCGATTCGCCGACCCGGAGAAATGGAAAGCTTGGCGAGCCATGGGCTTGGGGATCAATTCCACGTGTGTGTTGCAAAGCGCCTCCGACCACTCCACCACTCGAGCCCTCAAAATGATGAATTATATCAATCGTTAAAGGTACAGGCTAAAAATTAGATGGAATATTAGAGAAAAAACGGATACATTTTAGCGAGAGGTGTTAGCGATGAGGTAATTTCCGCTTCTTTGTAATCGAACCAGCTGTTTACTGAAGTCAAATTCGTAACGCAACAACAAGCTGGCATGTTCCAATGTGAACGCACGTTTGATGGTCCAGTAAATCGAGACTTTTTTTATGGATTTCAGGGTTGAAAGAGGTAACAAAGTCACCCTTAAATTACTGATCTACTGGATCATTATTTGTAGTGAACTCGAAATCTTCCATGTACCTAAGGTGATCCTACTAACTCCCTTGGGGGATTGTCACCGCATGCATTCACTATCAGACATTCACTTTGTGTTTTATAGCTCGCAGAAGGTTTCTTCGCCTTGCAAAAGGTTTCTGCTGAGTGGGACCATCATTTTTGTCAGGTTTCCAGGTAGAAACATTTAGTTCATTCTGGACTTATATGGAGTGGTGAGTCAACGATTCTTCGGTGCAGATTAAGACTGATGAAAAAGTGCGAGTTAGTCAGTGTGGCCTTCACAATAGATGGATTTGTCTTACTTTTGCCGTACTCTAAATGGTTCTTACCTAAAATCGCA